ATGACGTTACATTGAAGGCGATTCAAAATAGTTTTTGTCAAATCTATCCAAATGACTGTGCTGTGCTTACCTTTAGAGAGCGATCGCCGGTTTCCTTCCCCGCTATGATTGCTACAAAGGGCAGCTGATGATTATATTGTGACTCCCACTGTACACTCCTCTCCTCCCCTGTCGGCTGTCAGCTGATGTAACTCCCACTGACACTCCTCTCCTGCCCTCAGAACGCGGAGCGTCAGCTGCAGTTCGCTCTCAGCCATAACGTGGTCGGCAAGACGACCCTGTACGATATGGAGGTGGACCACAGTCAGAGGCACATCCTCACCGCCTGCCAGGACCGCAACATCCGCGTCTACAACGTCTCCAACGGCAAGCACAGCAAGACGTTCAAGGGCAGCATCGCAGACGACGGCACCCTCATCAAGGTGAGCACGGGATGGTGCTTATTGCTGTAGCGTTTATGAAACTAGCATACGCCTGCACAGTTCTATGACATCAAGCTTTCATATCACCTGTTTTATCCCCTACCCAATATGGTCCTCTCCTATCTTTTGACTGTGTCCTCCCGTCAAGTGGCCTACTTCCTGCCTGTGTCACAAGTTTGTCTGACTTATGCTGACGTCTGCCCTATGTGTGATCCTGACTGGCCCGCTCTTTTATCGTCAGCTCTCGATGGACCAGTCTGGCATCTACGTGGCCACGTCATGCACGGACAAGACGCTGTACGTGTACGACTACCACTCGGGTGACTGCATGGCCTCCATGTTCGGACACAGCGAACTCGTCACCGGACTCAGGTTAGTGTGTTAACGGCCAACGCGCATGTAAATGCCAATTAGAAAATTAAGGCTAGAAATCACAGGTAAAACTAAGTTGTTAGGCTAGGAGATTCCGGTCCCGGGTTTCATAATCGAGTCTTATTTGTGTGAGTTGCCGGTATGAAAGGATAGATGGATTATTTCCTACTATCGCTGAATGACTTCATATTTCATGTTCTCGCCTCTGCCGTCGCCCGCTCTCGCAGGTCACCCCCCACCGTTCTCAGGTTCACCAACGACTGCCGGCACCTGATCACCGTCTCCGGCGACGGCTGTGTGTTCGTGTGGCGTGTGCCGCACGACATGACGCAGACGATGCTGGCGCGGCTGCAGCAGCAGGCTCGCCGCAGCCGGCGCCGGCAGACACACTCGGCACCGCCGCCCACCGACGCGGCCGGCACCGCGCCACTGCACATGTTCGACTCGAACGCCAACGAACGGGACGGCAGTGATTATAGGTGGGTGATGGTCTATGAATGCCCATTTTATATGGGCTTGGTAGGGCCCAAATCGAGTCCTGCTAATATTTTCGGTATTTTAAAGTTACCCACGTGGCATAGCATGGCTAGAATGGCACTTGTATCAATCATTGGAGCCCTACCAATAAATCTCGGTAAAGTGTCGCCCAAGAGACGAGCGGATGCTGTGGCCGGTCATCTGTGTGTGTGGGATAGGCGTATAGAAACCCCTATCCCCTCCTTCAGATAGGTGATAAAATGGTGGCCTCTCTCTCGGCAGGTTCAGTCCGGGCGGCCTACCTCAGTGGGCTAAACGGAAGGTAACAGAGACGTCCGTGTCACCAACTAACGAGCGAACAGTCGACTTCCCCAAGGGCCGCTGGGCGCAGCGGATAGACTCGGCTGGGATGACAGTGAAGTCCATCTACGACCGGGACAGCGTCATACCGTTCCCCGGACAAGGTGAGTGTCTGGACGCCCGCATACTAGCCAGTCGACATGTGAGATGGGTGGTGGCGTCGGGCCGGTCGTGGGATGGGTTGCTGATGAATGTGGTGCTGGCCTCGGCCGCAACTGCTTGATTGTTGTACTCATGTACTGTTCTGTGACCTTAGCCTGTGATTCGGAGTTGGCAACAGCCGCCCTAGAGGTATAATTGACGTCGTATGCCATTGTCAGTTGTCAACAGTATATGACGATCATCCCGTCATGTGTCTGTCCGTATTGCTTGTGTCTCGCCTCGTGACCAATGATGAATGACTCTGTACCAATATAACCGAATAATACCATTTTGACCGTTGTCTCGTGGCGCCTCAGACCGCCGTCGTGCCGGCCAGCCGGACTCTGAGGGCTCCAAGGACAGCTCACTGGAGGACTCGACCACAGCCAGCAGCAGGGAGCAGTCATCACGGCCGGTAAGGGCGCGACACCGGCCTAGCTGTTTGTATTTGTGATACACTGAGCCACTAAGCAAACTCCGAGTCTGCTGTCTGAAAATCTTCATTCGCACCCTAGCATTACAATTGACAGGCATTGTGGCTTTAAACGCTTTGGCTGTATCCGAGCGCTGAACGTTGGTGCTGTCTTTCTCAGTTCTGTACGATGGAAGCCGCGCTTCAAATGTTACATAGTCCCTGTGGTCCGATGAAATCATTTGCATTGTGTTAAGTTTTGTTTTTATATTATTATTTACAATTTATGCTGTCGCTTAATCCGTAGTTAGTCCAGCTAATTGATGTACAGCTAAAATGCCCCTGTCGGTGTCTTGTCTGAAAGCCAGTCAGCCGCCTGACATATCTCTGTACCGCCGCTGTATGCCCTGTATGTGCGCTGCGCCCTGTCCCGTGTACTATCGTCCGTGCTGTACCGGACCTGGCTACCCTTACCACCCCGCTGTACACTGCTACACTGCTCACCGTACTGCTGTATACCGTGTCCCCGGGCTACTGAACGGTATCGCTGTCTGTACCAAACGGCCCGCCTCAGCGCCCGCCTGGCTTTCAGCCTCGCGGCCAGGGAAATGGGTTCGTGCCGAACGCCCACAGCCTGAGAGAGATCCTCGGAAACCGCACCAACCAACGGGTCAGTGCACTATGCTGTTTGGTTAATAGAGCTGCTTCTGCTGTTTTGATGCGCATGCCTTTCTTGTGAGTGTTTTTGGCCTGTTTTGGTATTTAACCATGGGCCGTTTTACCTCCTATCAGTGTTCGTCTTTTGTTGTTGTTTTTTTCACCTCATGTGGCAACCCTAGCCATTTGTTCGGGTATGAGCCATCTGAGTATCCGTCTACACTGGGCCGAATTATACCGTCCATCTCGGTTGTGTGACTGGAGATGACGGTGTAGCTGTGATGTCCGGGCGTACTTTGCGTCTGTGTGCCGTCGGGTCTATCCCCTTGTGCGCCTTTTCTATCGCTGGTTGTGTGTCGTCCAACCGAGCTAGTCATGTTTGGCTGACCAGTCCGGTCTAACGCTTCGCCCTGTGTGCGTTTTCGCTCGGTCCGGTCTGCCCTCCAGCTGTCGAGGAGCTCGCGACGCTCAGAGCTGATTGAGGCTCGGAACCGACCGCTCACCGACGACTCGTCCGACCTGGGCAGCTACCGACCCGACGTAAGTTCTCGTGCACCACCGAGGTAGCTGCAGAAACCATCGTGGCAGCTGATATTCGTGACTGAGTGCTCCGATTTTCTAGTCCGGTTTTGACCCCTCGCTTGCTCTACTGCTCTGAAGTGCATTGTTCGGCTCGGATGCTAGACAAAAAAGTTTGCCGTTTTTTTTTTGTGTGTGTGTGTGGAGAAACTGAAATCATGGTCTTGGTCTGAACTTAAATTGCATTAACCACGTTATAAAGAACCGCCTTCACTATTAGGTCCGGTCTCGCCCGGGCAGTGCGTCCGGTCGGTCATACGGGATGAGTCTGTTGTCTAACCTCGTATTCCATTCCCAGGACGGTACCACGGACCACGACGGAGACATTGACGACTACAGTGAGCCAGAGTCGACTGAGAACGAGGCGGCCGAGACGCCCATGTACTACCCGCAACCGACCGACGACGGCGCCAGGTAGACAGTCGACCGATCCGGGCCGGGGAATGGTTGGGCTAGGGAGACTAAAGGTTAGGCTTGGAGCTCATGCTGTGACGGTGACTGAGGGCCCAGCTGAGCTCGGGCTGGCGCATGGAGTAACAAGCCGATTGGGAAGCGGGTCTGACTCGTGGGGACTGAAATACGTGCATCAGCCGTTTGAAAGAGCATTATGTAGGACGCTGGTCTGTGCCTGTGGCCGAAGTCCGGCTACTGTCAGAAGTAAAAGCGTCCCGTTCCCAGCCTTAGTCTGACGTTCACGGTCGCTCCGGTATCGTCTCCGCGTTTTGTGTCTTCTCTCCCCTAACCTCCCGTCTCCTCCCTCCCGCCAGTTCACCGTTCACGGTGAACGCCATGGACCAGGAGGAGCTGCGCCGGTCGGTGCGGCGGGCGCGCCGGCCGCGGCCCGCCCACCTGACACTGGCGCCGCTGGCCGGCCTGGCTTCGGACGCCGGCACGGCCACTCAGGACGACTCCGATGACCTGGAGGAAGAAGAGGAGGTCAGCACGCCGTCGGCCGACACGGACGGACAGACCAGAGCCGGACTCCACACCTCAGCCAGGTAAGAATGTAGGGGGGACGGGAGGGGTTAGATTGGTGGGGAAGGAGAGGGACGAGTAACATACGTCAAACTAAAGACTGGTGAAAGGTCGGGCTGGTGAACGGGGGATGTTATGAGACTGATGACAGGAGATATCAGACTGATCATATGTAGAGATAAGGAGTCAGTGCTACATGAGAAAAGGAAAGAAATGCTTTCATGGTGAGTTGTAAATATGTAGTAACCCGAAAGCTTACGCTCTTCGCAATTATTAGTTGTAAATAGATCATGATTCAAGTGGATCGGGGAGCTAAGCTTCCCAGTCGTGGGCTTACCTGAATTCCTGTGATTCCAGCATGGAGAGTATAGACAAGATCGGTCAGCATGAGAAGTTCTTGGCGAAAAACTTCGAGTCGCTGGACGGGGAGGACGAGCCCGCAGAGGGAGCCGGCGAGTCGCCCAATCACAAAAACAGGTACGGAAAGAGCGACTTCTGGCTGTGATAACCAAAGGCGGACTATTTATTGAATACAGTTCGAACTCCAGTCATGAACGAGTCCTGTTGTGTTGTTCATTCTCCTCCCCATCCCCCGGACGTGTTCACTGATCTTACGCAATGTTTTGCTGTTTTTTGTCTCTATAGTATTTCCAGCAAGTTCCTGGTGGGCCGCAGCTACACGTCCACGACGGTACGCTCTCAGGAGAGCCAGCGGAAACGCGAGGAGCTCCAGCGACGGATCCAGGAGACGCGACGGAAACTGCAAGGTGTAAGTAGGCGTGGAAGTCTGCCTCCGGAACCTGGAGGAACGGTCAGAATACGTGATGCCGTGCCTAATGGCGACAAAGAGGCACCTTTGTTTGAAAAGTTACCATCCAAAATACTAGCACATACTCGGTGTCCTATATGCTGATAGCAGTGCATAGCTGCTGATTTAGATGTAATCCTTGCATCGTTTTCCCGACTGGCCATCGGTGTCAGGGCATCACTGACCCTTTGCCTCCTCCCCTCCCCTGTCCACAGATCGGGTACAGGTCGGGCAACCTGAAGGCTAGCCAGAGCTACGCGGACCTGAGCTACGGCGGTTCGCCGGGCCGCGCCGGCGGCCGGCCGCCCTATAACTCCGCCTCCGCCGCCGCCGCCGCTGCTAACTCCGCTAACCGGCTGCATGGGGCAGGTACGCTGGGCGGCGATGTAGAGCGCGACTTGGAGTTCGTGTTCGCCGGCCTGGCGTGCGGTGGTGAGCGGGTCTACCCGGCCGCCTACCCAGTGTCCGTGGTGTACCCGCCGCTGTACGAAGGCGCGCACAGCGATACGGACGGCGGACGCTCGCCGGATGCTGCGGGCGCGGCCGCTGCTGGTGCTGTTGGTGGTGGTGGTTGTATAACTGGTGATGGTGGAGGTGGTGACGGTGGGGGCTCGGGGGAGGAGGAGGACGGGTCTGGGGGGAGGTGTGGGTCACCACAGGGTGCATTTAGCGATGACAGTTTAGACTCTGAGGAGGAGGCTGCAGCGGCCGCCCGGCTGGTGGCTGTACCCCCTGAGGAGGCGCTCCGCCACGCCGCCGCGCCCATGGAGGACAGTCTGGACAGTGACCAGCTGCGCCAGCTGTGCGGCGGCCTTACCGAGCAGCTGCGCCGCTTCGACCAGCAGCTGCGGCAGCTGGAGCTGCAGCAGCGTCAGGAGGAGGAGCAGGAGCGGGGCCGATGGCCGGACAGCGGCGGGCCATGGTTCGGCGAGCCGCTGCGCCGCTCTATGAGTCTCCGAAACCGGGGGACTCCGGACGAGGCGGCGGACTCGGCCGGGTACCTCAGTGACAGCTCGCCGGGTCTCCGGCAGCGACTGGGGCTGGCGCCGCCGGCGGCCGGCCGGCAGCGCCGCCTCCGCTGGCGGCAGACCGTCGGACCCACACTCCTACCGGCCTTCGCCGAAACTCCGGCGGCGGCCGCCGCGCCGCGCTGTGCCACCTACCGGCGAGAGTTCCCGGCGCCCGACTACAGCCACGTACCGAACCTGATCGCTCGCCAGGCACGGCTGCCGCGCCAGCCGGCCGGCGTCAGCCGCCAGGAGCGCCGGTTTCGGCAGCGGTGTGTGTCCGATCCGCGGCCGGAGCTGGTGGCCGCGGCGCTCCGACGGCGTGCCGAGCTTCTGCAGACTGAGCCGGGTGGGGAGGACTGGGACCAACGGCAGGAGACGGAGGGCTGGAGCCAACGGCGCGGGAGGGGCGACTGGGAGCATGGAGGGGAGGCCGGGCCGGGACGGGATAGGAGGGACCAACAGCACAGGAGGCAACAGAGCTTCGAGAGCTGCTACCATCGAAAGGAGCGGGCACCGAGACAAGAGGGAGAGCTGGTCCGTCGCAGAGGTCAGGAGCTGGATGTCGGCAGTCAACAGGAGCTGGAGATCGGCCGGGAGGAGCCGGAGCCGGGTGTTGAACTACATCCGGGACCGGGCCCGGAGAGGACCAGCCGTAATCAGGAGCCGGAGCCGCAGCCGGAGCAGTCACCGCGGAGCCCGGAGAAGTCGCCGGCCGGCCACCGACCGGGTAACTACAGCCCGCTGAGCAGCCAGCGTGTTCTGCGTGTGAGCGCCGGCCGCCGCCGCCCGCAGCATGTCGGCGCGGCGGGTGGCGCCTCGCCGCTCGCCAGCTGCCCCGTCGTTTTCAGGTCTGCATGGCATGGCATGGCCACGCAACGGCGCGTCGTCGGCCGCGCCCCCGCTGTCGTTCGTCGTAGTCAGCTGTGAATGGGCCGCGTTAGATGTGCTCTCATCTCTGCCCCGTTTTTTGTTTTGTTTGTTATGCTGTGTCATTTTGGTCACCGGCCGCCCCCTCCCCCACCCGGCTGTATGCTGGCGTTCAGTCCTCTCTGGTCTCTGGGCCGCCTCTCGGCCGGAGCAGCGCGGTCGCCGGGCGGGGGCGGGGACGGCCGTTTGTCTGTCTGTCTGTGTGGCTAGCGCCGCTCGGCTGTGCAATGCCTGGCTGTCACCGCTCCCTGTGTGTGTGTGCGTGTTTGGCGTGACGCAGTGCGCACCAGCGCGGCGGGCGCCGTGGACCCGGAGCCGGCTGGCGGACTGCGGCGCGCCGTCTCCCTGAGCGACCTCACCGACGCCAGCACGCCGCGCCGCCTGCTGCCATCCACCCCGGCCGGTAGGTGGCGTCTGGGGGACCAGAGAGACCGGCAAGCGCGCCCGGCGGTCACCGCACACGTATACAATGTATACTGACATCCTGATCCAACCGATATCCAGCAATGGTATACGTACACAAACAAAGATACACAGACGTTCAGCTCTGACTCCTATTCCTGACAGGTTTTAGAGAAAATGGTATGGAGGAACTATTATTACACTTCTGTTTTGTATTATTTTGTTGTATTATACGAGTGTACAATTGTGTTGTACTTTTGATAATTTTCAATGTACAGGATATGAACAATGAACATAAATAATTTCGTTGATGTAAATTAATTGTATTGTAATTTGAGAAGTACCGTTCACTGTCTGGTGTGTTGATAAAACAATGTGCACCATTTTACCTCATTTGTAGTTATGCATATATTGGACAAAGTCTGAAAGATCTACATATATATGTATCTATCTGTGATCTGTCATATGGTGATAACAATTATAGGTGTATAGATGTAAAATTTTCGGACTGCCGAACGTTCCAAATTGTTTAGTACATTGTATGTGCCATTTGGCGCAAACATGTACAGAGGTTGAGTTTGTGAATACCCAGTCGGCTGTCGTTCTGTAGGGCCCGAAATATGGATCAGTCTTTGCCTGCCCGCGCGGCCGTACCCTAAATCGAAGGCTCACACGGTAGCTATTAGTTCGGCCGATGGTTGGGGAGGCGGCCGACCAGTCCTTTAGTGACCGGCGGTGGGCTAAGTTGGGCTCCTCACGCCCACCGCACAGCGTGAGGCTCGGCGCCCTCCAATTGATATCACGGGGTACCCCGGCTCGACCGTCTAGGACTCCGTTAGCGTCTACTGCATAAGGCCGAAGGGTGTTTACTGTTTAGTGGTCGTGAAAGCGATTTCGAATTGAGTCCGAAAAGGGAGCTTATTTCCATCTATGGTTAAACGGGTCACTATATGATACAGACTTCAATCGTCAATCATCGGATCACCTTAACTATGACCTCATCAAATTGATGTTGCGATGAGTCCCCAGTATGCAGTGTATCTTCAAGCAATTGGTCACATCATTAACCCGCGCCCCAGTGGCGGTCTCGGCCAACTTCGCCCCAGTGAGGGGGGGGGGGCATATGTTACCACCCACCTCTAACTCAAAAACTAAGAGGGCTAGAAAGACGCGGTAAAAAGCAGTCGATAGCTCTCAATACGTACGTTTGAAAGTATTTCGGTCATTTTTCACCTTAGAGCAATATTGGGGTCACCAGAGGTCATCAAAGGTCAAAATTTGCCAATTGTCATTATATTTTTCAGAAAACATGCCGCTATCTCAGGAACTATGGTAGCTAGAAAAACGCATGGAAAAGCAGTCGATAGCTTTTGAACTCTTCTTTTGAAAAGGTAATTATCAATATTGTCCTCAGGTCAACGGTTTAGCCTCCAGAGGGCAAAAACTCCAAAAATAGCTGTTTTTACGAAAAGTGTTTTTCGACAATAACTTTCGACTACAAAAAGCCACGACATTTCTATTTCCAGAATCGTGTTCCCCTCACCGAGACGCGTCGAATGAACTATAATTTGACCTTGAAAGGTCAACTTAAAAATTTGACCTCAGGTCAAGGTCATGACCTGACCGGAAAAGGTCATGTTGCATATCAGTCGATGCGTCTCAACAAGACAAACACAATGAGACCATCCCCAGCGTTCTATCTCTTTCCAATCGCGAGTTATTGGCAAAAAACTGTTTGTAGCCTCAAATGACCTCGGATGACCTTTCTAGAGGCTATCAGCAAAAATGACACCTTGGTCATCACGAGTGAACTAAATCATTGTGATTCTGAAATATTTGGACTGTTCCTATGCGTACACACGGATCTAGAGGCATTTTCATTTTTTCCATTGACTTGTAATGGAAAGGTCATGCCACTGACCTGACCTTAGGTCACGGATATAAAATATCTGAGATATACAAATTGTAGGCTCCCATAACAGCATGCAATCCACCATGTTTAAAACGTTTCTGACAAACACTGCAGGCTGGACATGATTGCAAACTTTTTTTAAGGCTTGGTCAGTTAACTTGACCTGGTGACCTGACCTGACATGACCTGGGGTCAAAAATTTCACACATTGTCCAAAATTGATGTACCAAAAGCTACCCCAAGTGGCGCGGCGCTACGCGCCGCGGTTTTTTATTCACACGCGAAAAACGCGACAGGGTGGTAACATATGCCCCCCCCCCCCAACTGGGGCGAAGGTTAAAACACAAAGTACACGTTATGCTCCCATTTATTATCGATCTGGACCGGACTTGCCTTGGTCTCATCGGGAATTTTCCCGTGCCTTCGTTTCACATCCTCACCCTGACCTTCCCATCGCCCTCCCCAGCAGTTTGCTTAGCAAGCCCGTCTTCGTGCATGTTAAATACCCAATACTGTGGTATTTCTTCGTGCACTGCCTTGTAGTACTGCGTGTGTTATTCTCAGTAGAGCAGTTTTCCGGCCGGCGCGGTCTGTTTTCCTCTCGGCTCTCTATGCGGTAATTTCCGTTGCTCGGTGGGATAGGGTCGGCTGGGTAGCTCCGTTAGAGATCAGCGGTGTGGTGTCACAGTCAGTTCCGAACCGAGACCGGCTCTCACGGGGATCACGGGCTGCCTTTACCTCGCGGAGCGGGAGAAACTGTCAGACGTTGTGGGGCGGGCGGCGAGCGTGGACCAGCGCGGATAGAGAGGGACTGTCAGACCCTGTGGAGCGGGCGCGAGCCGACGCGGATAGTGAGGGACAGGCAGACCTCGTGTAGGGCGGGCGCAGAGAGTTTGTCCGTCCACAGCGGCCCCCTGACGCTCGTCATGCCGGCAGTGTCAGGGAAGAAGACGACGTCCAAGAAGCAGCCGCGGCCCAGCTCGGCGCTGGCTCGCAGCTCATCCATGAATCTGCTCAACCAGGTGAGGCGACAGACTTCAGGTCTATGTAACAGTTGATGCGTTTCTGCCCTGTTCAGCATTATGATATAGCTTGCTCTCGCTTTGATACAATGCCCTCCGTGTGATCTCTAACTACGCGGTGTATGCCGTGAAACTGTAAGCCGTGGAATATGTAACCGCCGCGTGACCGTTGCCTCTCGTGTGGCCTGTGTCTGCTCTTTTCCGTGTGTCGTCCGTGAGACATACATGTGTCTCATAATGTGCCCTATGTTGTGGTGTGATCTGCCACTCTCCATCATCTGACCCTTGCCTACCCTATTCCCTCGCCGACAGACGGACAGTGACAGCGGCCTGAGCCGCTCGTCACGGACCGTCGGGAGCCCAATGCGGCCCACCATCGCCTCGCTCAACAAACAGAAGGCGCCGGCATCGGCGGCCACCTCCTACCGACGCGGCCTCTCGGGCGCCGTCAGTGTCGGTGAGTGGACCTCTGACCTGACCTGACGGGGTCTGTTAGCTAGCTTATGACTGGCAGATGGGACTCAGTATGACTTTGAACGTCAGTGTATCAACATTCACATTTGTGGTCACACAGCGGTAAAGTGGGTGGTACGAGAATTTCTTATGTTCTCTGCAAATGGTTGCTACATCAGCTGATCATCTCACCTCTCAAGAGAATTGAGAAATAATTAAAATAGGGAACACATTGTGAGAAAATGTTTGCCATCGCAACAACAAAGTTAAAAGTTTGATTGGTCCTTTGCGTAATATTTTTTCTTCGCTGTCACAACCGCGCCTTGGGCTTTAGCTATTCTTCATTCGCCGGCCCCTGCCCGTTCCGCCTTGCTCCTGTACTTGTTATGCCTACCTATGTGTTTGTTTGTTTGTACAGGCGACATGCGGGTACTAGAGGCCGACTCGAGTTCCGAGGAGCCCCTCTCGCCGAGCGAGTCTCGCGGTCAGACGGGCCCGTTCAAAGGCCGGGCGTCCAGCGTGGACCGATTGGCAGCCAGGTAAGGGCACGTCACACGTCCCTGGACGCTTACTCTGGTGGACAGTTGTGTAGTTTATCTTCTCAATAAGAAGCACTCGCCACAGCCGGACGACTAATCTCGCTATTTAATTTCAGACTTGTTATATTCGGTATATTTTATCGTTACATTTTGTGCACAGGGGTACGCTTATATCTGAGGGTGCGCTTTGTCTATAAATTGTTTGTTTACCGGTGCTATGCGCGTTTGGGTGTTGTCGACCTCTGGATCAATATCTTCTAGCTAGACACACAGTCTAGCTGCTAGGCCCTATCAGTGTTGGGTGGAGCATCGAGGCTGGCACGGTTCTAATACACGGCCCTCTAACGCATACTACACCAACCGAGCCGCTTTTCCTAACGAGCCCCTGGATCCGATATGACTGCTCAACATCCTACCTGGTTCCTTCATCTTCCTTTCATCCTTTTCCTGATGGTCCTGATATTGTCACGTAGGCTAAGGGGCAGACTAACACCCCTCAATCTGCTGTTCCTACCCTGAGATGCACCTCTCATACCGTCGCCCGTTGTGTGTCATTTCGCCCGCCGGCGTGTGGACTATCGATCCACAGTGTACCCGCTGCTCCGTGACCCCTGTCGGGTACCCACTGCTCTAACCGTGCCCCTGCCTCGGGTACCCCATGCTCTAACTGTGCCCCTGCCTCGGGTACCCTATGCTCTAACCGTGCCCCCGCCTCGGGTACCCTATGCTCTAACCGTGCCCCCGCCTCGGGTACCCTATGCTCTAACCGTGCCCCCGCCTCGGGTACCCTATGCTCTAACCGTGCCCCCGCCTCGGGTACCCTATGCTCTAACCGTGCCCCCGCCTCGGGTACCCTATGCTCTAACCGTGCCCCCGCCTCGGGTACCCGCTGTTCTAACCGCGCCCTGGCCGACCGACAGCCGACTGAGCGGAGCCGGCGGCCGCGGCGGCGCCGGCTCGGAGCGGGACCTGAGCCGAGCGGCGCGAGAGGTCACCAGTCGCCTGACGGCCACCGTCACCAAAACCCGACAGCAGACCGTCACCAAACGGCAGACGGTCACGCTGAAGGGGTGAGCATTGATGGTTACAGTCGCCTCCGAGTGGCGTCCGCAGAGGGCGGCGGATGATGGGACTGGGGACCGTGGCATGTACTGGATCCGTGGGCGGCTTCGGTGTCGTTTTGTGGTGTGTTTGACATGTCACGCCTATGTTGTCGTACCGTACCTGAATGGGTGTCGCCACGTGTCGCCTATGCTGTATCAAATGTCTATATGTGTGGACAATATGCATGCACTGCTACTATTGCTTTTCTCGTAGCTGACTTGCGACGGTCTGTTGCGCTGTTTTCAGGTACGGTGTTCGGGAATCGAGTCCAGACACAGACTGGGATGCGCTGGGCTCCGAGCCGCAGCCCGACCTGTCCTCAGTGCCATGTAAGTACCAGAAGGGAACAGTGAGGGCACCCAGACTCTCTGAGTAGCAACATTACTGATCATCCTGTGCACCAGAGGCAGCTTTTTTATATTGCGAGAATGAAACCATTCGGACATATTTCAACATATGATGCTACTCAATTTACACGTTTTTTGTTGATGGCTTAGAGACTGTTTTGCTGCGTAACGTTCTGCTGTGTTATAGTAGGTCTGCCCCAACAGATGTGCTAGGCGCTGACTCTCTGTGGTCTATCTACATTCTACAGTGACCCGCGAGCCTGTGTTGTGTCCTTTCTGTTGTGCTCTGACGGCTGTGTTCTGACCCTGCGCTGTAGTTGTCTGTACAGTGACCCATTACTGTTGTGTTCTGACTGCTGTGTTGTGGGTGTTGTGCTCTGACGGCTGTGTTCTAACCCTGCGCTGTTTTCCACAGTGACCCGCGAGCTGTGCGAGCTGGAGCTGTTCCGGCTGCAGCGGCAGGCCGAGCGTGTCCTGCAGCTGGCCCACCGACTCTCGGACGAGCCGCCCTCGGAGCCGGCGGGCACCGAGCTGCCGCTGCTGCTCCGCTCCGGCGCCGCCGCCTGTCTGGCCGCCCTGCAGCCGGTGGCGGCGCCGGCCGGCAAGGCGGGCCCGCTGCCCGACCTGCCGCCAGCCGCCGCCGCCAACCCGGCCATGGTGCAGATGATGCAGCAGTACTCGGACGCGCTCCTCACCATGATGCACCAGCGAATGCAGCCGCCCGGCTAGCGGCCGCCCGCCTGCCGGACTCTCCTGTGTCATGTGTCTGTGCGGCCCCGGGCGGCCGCGCTCAGCGGTTCCGCAAGGAACGGGCCGGCTACCGACGCTCAGCGCCCGCGGTGGACCGAAATATTGGCAGCTTCTCCAATCGGAATATGGCACACAGAAGCAGTGTTTCAAGTTTTGAACGTGACGTTCAACGCTTTTAAACCGCGACGCTTGTGTACTATTTTTCCGTAGGGCTGCTGTTTCCGAAATATTTTGAAGCTTTATCTGTGTGGCTACGGCCACCAGCTTTGGAGACCGTTGTGGAGCTTAGCGCGGCTTTGGCTCGCGCGCCTCCCCCGCGCGGGGAGCCGCGTCTGAGCCGTCGTCGCCAGCCGCGCCACGCGCCGTGCCAAATGCGCCGTAGACGCCGCACGGCCGCCACCGCAGCGCGGAGTCCAGTATTCGCGCGGCGCCTGCTTTAATAACGGCCTAACCAGCGCGCCGGGGCGGGCCGGCGACTCGTGTGCCAACGGGGGGCGCCGGCGCCCTCTGCTCCCCTCTGTAGTACCGTGCCCTGTGAGTATGTGCATATGTGGACTGAGCTGTGCAGAATGTGCCGTCTATGTAACTGTGTACATACCATTGTCACTGCATTGATGATGCGGTAATACAAGCTCGCTCTCGACCAGGGTCAGGGTAGTGTGATGATCTGGCTGCTCGAGAAGTAAAAGTTTCACGAAGACACTCGTCCTCTGACACTCCGATGGGATTCGGTAACCAACCAGCCGGCTATTTGTGAGCGGTTTGGTGCGTTTGTAAATTGTATCGCGAAGATTGATCTTGAATCTCGATTCTTGTAAACCGATAGTGGATGTTTGGCTCAGGGCGCCGCTGATGTTCGTTGGTTGTTCTTTTACCCAGCGCCACCAATGGCTTTGAAAATTACAGTTTTCCCTTTGGCACGCGCAAATTACGGAATTGGCATAATATTGGCATACATCCCATACAATCACGTGATCATACTTGAAACTGGTACAAAATATGAGCCGAAAATTGTTGTGTTGTCTTATACCAAAAGTTTCATGCAGCGACGATGGGGATCCCGCTTGACTGCTGTATTTTGACGTCATAAGCGTGAGCTGACCCTCTTGATCATAACGCGCAACCTTGAAGCAAAAGCAGTAGGCGCTTCATAAATGGCGCGGTTGGCACGTAAACACGAAGATGGATTTCGGCGAGGAGAGTCCTGCGTATAATAATTTCGTTATTTTATTTATTTTGTGATTTTGATAATGATGATTTTTTAAAGATTTGCTTCATATGATAAACTGGATATCGGTCAAACGTGTTGGGCATTGACGTTGGGGACGGCATGTGTGTTGTGGATGGCATGGGAAATCAAAATTGAAATGTTTTTTTTAGTTTTGTAGTTTAACCAAGATTCTTACGGATAAACAACAAATAATAATCGTATTCTAGGTATGCTTTATGCATTTAATATACTGTAGCTGTGGCAGCTCTGTGCTCTGTGACTTGTTTTGTGGTGTCAGCCTCACTTTCATAGGTTTTGTTGCTGTTGCGAGTCCCAAACTTGAGCTTCAATTCGAAATGCCTAAAATATGGTGTTGGTGCTTTGCAACAACCAAAATGATTTCATTCAATGCAATCAAAAGCTCTGCATCAAAATTAAGACAAAATGCTAAAGCTTGAAGTAGAGACTTGTGTCTTGCTAACATCCTTCCTGAAGGCGAAAGTAACAGCAGGCTAATTTATGATAAGTCTTGCAGACTTGGCCCCAAATCATAATATTCACACTCACTGACTGAAAAGTCACGCACTCACTCATTGGATTTACCTGAAAACTAGTAAATCCACAGAGATATGACAGTAATACCAATGACAGCTGACACCACAAAATGACTTTGAAGAATCAGTGTGGTGTACTATACATCTGTCTCATGCTGAAAAGCTTCTAGTAGGGGTGTGCTACAGGTCCCCAAACTCCTGCAAAGTAAACAATGACAAGTTGATACTACTAGTTAAAGAAGCCATGCAAATGAAGATGAAAAATGTTATTATTATGGGTGACTTCAATTTTCCTCGTATATGTTGGGAAGATGGATACGTTGAAGGGCCAGGGGATAGTGAGGATGCAACTTTCTTTGAAACTATGCAAAATCTGTACCTTCAGCAGCATGTTAATTTTAAAACTCGCTACAGAATCGGTCAATCTCCATCAACATTGGATCTAATATTTTCCAACCGTGGACACTTAGTAGATGAACTGGAAGCTAGTCAACCCTTGGGTAAAAGTGACCATGTTGTGATTACCTGGAATTGCATTTACGAAGAGCATGACAAGATGAAGGCATGTGAATTTTTCAAGAGATACAACTTCGGCAAAGGGAATTATGTAGATATGTCAAATCACCTGAGAAGGACAGAATGGAGTGTGATAAGCCCAATGAATGTGCAGCAAACTTGGTCCTTCATCAAAAGGGAATTGCACCTGGCTATCAGCAAGTATGTGCCCATTTTCACGAAGAAGACAAGAAAGAAGAAGATACCATGGTGGAACAAAGCTTTGACCAAAGAAGTGAAGAAAAAGCATAAAGCCTGGAAGGAATATGCGAGAACCAAGAGAAGTGAAGAGTACGAAGCATATGCTAAGCAGAGAAACCGAACTACTTGTATGTTGCGGAAAGCGAGGTCCGAATATGAGGCAAAACTTACTGAAGACTTGAAAACAAACCCTGGTAAGCTATACAAATATGTAAGATGTCGTTCAAATGTGAGAGCACAGGTTGGACCCTTGGAAAAGGATGATGGGATGTTAACTGAAAACGATTATGAAACAGCTGAAGAGCTGAATAAGTACTTTCAAACTGTATTTGTTGATGAGGATATGACAAACATCCCAAACTTTACCCAGGCCGTCAATGATTCATCTGTATTGAACAGCATCACAATCACTTCCGAAGAAGTTCTACGCGAGCTACAAAAGCTGCAACCAGGCAAAGCAGGTGGACCTGATGAGTTACCAGCTGTGGTGCTAAAATCATGTGCTGAGGTACTGGTTTCTCCTCTGACCATGCTTTTCCAGAAGTCTCTGTCTGCTGGCGAGCTCCCTGGTGATTGGAAACAGGCATGCATCATTCCATTGTTCAAGAAAGGAAAGAGAGCAAGACCCAATAATTATCGGCCCATTAGCCTTACAAGTCAAGTTTGCAAAATGCTCGAAAGAATAGTAAAGAAGCACATCATCAACCACTTAGAAGAGAATGACTTTATATCACCTCACCAGCATGGGTTTGTAAAACACCGATCGTGTCAATCGAATTTATTAGAATCACTCGAGGATTGGACCAAGACAGTAGATGAGGGAGCAGGACTTGACATAATTTACCTGGACTATCAGAAAGCTTTTGACACTGTGCCGCTCAGAAGACTCTGTGTGAAGCTGCAAGGTTATAATATCAAGGGAGAAGTCCTTGCTTGGATATCAGACTTCTTGAGTAACCGTACCCAGAGAATTTCGGTTGGTAACAAGTTGTCCACATGGTCCAGAGTCAGAAGTGGGGTACCCCAAGGTTCGGTGTTAGGTCCTGTATTATTCATCATTTATGTCAATGAACTACCAAGCCTGGTCAGAAGCAAGATTAAAATGTACGCAGACGATACCAAGTTGTATGGACCTGTTAGTAATCAAAGTGATGCTCTAAAGCTGCAAGCTGACCTGGATATACTCACCAAGTGGTCTGGAGAGTGGTTGTTGCAATTCAATTTGGAAAAATGCAAAGTAATGCATTGCGGCTCCCAAAATCCTGGATTCACTTACACAATGAAAACAGTAACTGGGCGGCCACAAATGCTTGAGGAAACTCTTGTAGAAAAGGACCTTGGAGTGTACATTACCAACACACTGAAACCTTCATTGAACTGTTCTAAGTCAGCAAACAAGGCCATGTCTGCCCTCAGGGTACTGAGGCTGACCTTTGGTCAACTAACAGTGAAGAACTTCAAAACCCTTTTTTCGGTGTATGTTAGACCTCATCTTGAGCACTGTGTGCAAGCGGCTGGTCCCTATTTGAATAAGGACATGCAAGCACTTGAAAAAATACAAAGGAGGGCCACTAAACTAGTCCATGGATTGAAAAGAGTACCATATGAAGAACGTTTGAAAGTACTAAACATGACAAGTATGGAAGAAAGGATCAGAAGAGGAGATTTGATAGAAACATTTAAGATTCTTAAGGGGAAATTGAACGTACGCCCAGGTCAATTTTTCACTAGCCACCACGGAAGGACGACCAGAGGTCACCAGCTCAAACTTGAGATACGGAGGTCCAGGACCCAAGCTCGAGCAAAATTCTTTGCAAACAGAGTAGTCTCAGCATGGAACAAGCTGTCTCAGGAGATCATAATGTCTGAAAACACAAACACTTTCAAGAACCGGCTAGACAAGCTCAGGACCACTACGGCGCTATCCTCTCTCTTTAACATCCACAGTACCTAAGTTACCCAGTCTGGCCCAGTTTAATGCTCGAAGTGAGCACCAAATAGACCCTGTCTACCATAGCTCACTATATTAAACTTAAACTTAAACTTAATTTTGTGGATTCACAAGAATCACTTTTATGTGAGTTTCCTGAGTCCCTAGGGAGTCCACGGAGCAACCAATGACTCTGCAAAATCGCAAATTTTGCAGACACACTAACACATACAGGGTGGACCAAAAAGGATGGAAACATTTTGAACTCGCATAAAATATGTGTTATTGCATGCAGGTAACTGAAAATGATACCAAACGAGAGCACATTTCGTGGAAATTCATAATGACATCTCTCCCATCTGCTTTCTCTCGCTTTCAGTCTCCCACAGCAAATGTTCGAAGAGGCCACTTTTGCGAGACAGGCACAGAGCGGCCCGCCTGGCTGCTGACGCGATAGCCCGATAACACATGTCCGTTGGTTTGGCTCGCACAGCCTTGGTGATCACTCTCTTCAGGTAACAGATGCCTTTAGAACCTTCCTTGAAGACCTGGCCTGAGGTGACCCCACAGGAAAAAATCCATCGGGGTCAGGTCAGGTGAGCAGACAGGCCAGTTCCGACAGGCACTGCGGGATATCAGCCGGTCACCAAAGTGGTTCTCGATCCACTTGAGCGTTGTTTCGCGATGTGAGGAGGCGCACCGTCGGGATGGAATCACATGAGGTCCATGAGACTGCCATACTTCGTTTGGGCTACTTCAACAACTTCTTTAGCGTCGCTTGGTAGCACTTTTGGTCGTCAGCCACGGTGTTGTCGCTCCCATCCTCGAACCGAAGTGGAACTGGCCTGTCTGTCTTCTCATCTGACCTATGGATTCCTTTCCTGTGGAGTCATCTCAGGGCCAGGTCTACAAGGAAGGTTATGTAGGCCTCTTTTATCTGAAGAGAGCGATCACCAAGGCTGTGTGAGTCAAACCAGCGGACATGTGTCGTCGGGCTATCGCGTCAGCCGGCAGGCGGGCCGCTCTTTGCCTGTCTCGCAAAAGTGGCCTCTTCGAACATTTGCTGTGGGAGACTGAAAACGAGAGAAAGCAGATGAGAGAGATGTCATTATGAATTTCCACGAAATGTACTCTCGTTTGGTATCATTTTCAGTTACCTGCAGGCAATAACGCATATTTTATGCGAGTTCAAAATGTTTCCATCCTTTTTGGTCCAACCTGTAGATTAAGCATTTGGATTCTGAGAGTGGATGCTGTTTTTTTTTTTTTTTTTTGATTGCCAAAACAAATCTCCTCCCTCTAAATCAGTATCAGCCTGGGGAATTGGGATCATCACATTCATTTCCTGCCATAATTTTTAATACCTATTCTATTTGTTGGTAGTATGGGTGAGGCTGGCCAATCAGCCATGAAAACAATTGCCAGCCTCCTACCCTGCCTCCCTGGCAACTGTCTGATCATGTTTCTAATCACAGGAGCAATATAAGAACTTTTTGCATTTACAAAGATAGACCTGTTGCATTGAAATGTCTAATGAATCTCTACAGAGGGTTATTACTGAAAATTCATTGGAATGGCATGCCATATGGCATCACAAGGCATCTTCATTGAATAGGTAGTTGATTGACATCTCACCCTGTTTTGTCATAAACGTGCAGGATGTTGACAGTTGACTCTCTCCTTGTCTGTTTCAGGTATAGAGAAGGAAACTTTAAAAAGAAGTATAGTAAAACAACATAACAGACTGGAGGGTCCATATATCAAGGAATCAAAGTAAATATTCTGTTTGGGCATTCCTGTCACACAAGGCCCTAAACAGGAGAGCGCAATACCACGTCGCCAGTACCCGGCGCCACCTGCACCCATCTTGCCATGGCCAGTGTTCCGGAGGTCCGTGCCGGCGGCTCTGGCGATGACCCTCCGGAGTCGGACCTGGCCGATCAGCTGAGCTCCGTCGCCGCCGAGCTGGCAGACGTGGACGCCAAGATCGCTGAGCTGCAGGAGTGGCGCCGCCTGCTGACTGAGAAACAGGCGCGTCTCAAAGAGCGCGTGACGGCTGGCCGCGTGGCGCGACTTGCCGACCAGGACTGGGAGACGCGCCGGTTCCCGTGGTCGGAGAGACTGGCGGCCGTGCTGCGCGACCGGTTCGGAATCGACAGCGGGTTCCGGCCGCTGCAGCTGTCGGCCATCAACGCCTCCATGTCGGGCCACGACGTGATGCTGGTGATGCCGACCGGCGGCGGCAAGAGCCTCTGCTTCCAGCTGCCGGCGCTGGTGAGCGATGGTGTTACGCTGGTGGTGACGCCGCTCGTGTCGCTGATGGAGGACCAGGTGACGGCGCTGCGCCGGCGCGGCGTCCCCGCAGAGATGCTGAGCGCCACCACCACGCGCCAAGACGCCAGTCGAATCCTGGCCGATATGATCAGCGAACGTGCAGAGATGCGCCTGCTCTATGTCACGCCAGAGAAAATGGCCAAAAGTAAACGATTTATGACCAAACTCCAGGCGATGCACAAAGCGAAGCGCTTTGCGAGACTGGCCATTGACGAGGTGCATTGTTGCAGCCAGTGGGGCCATGACTTTCGGCCCGATTACAAGTTCTTGGGCATCATGAAGGGCATGTTCCCGGGAGTGCCCATCATGGGTTTGACTGCCACTAGTACTGCAGATGTTACACGCGATGTCAAAAAGATGTTGCATATCCCCGAGGCCATCGTGTTTAAGGCTACCTTCAACCGTCCGAATCTGTTCTACTCGGTGCGCCCGAAGCCGGCCACGGGCGAAGGCTGTGTGGAAGAGCTGGTGCGACTAATCGGTACCGTGTACAAGGGAAAGTCGGGTATTGTCTACACGACCACCATTAAGGACACCGAGGAGCTGGCCGAGCGGCTGTGCAAGGCCGGCATCACGGCAGCCCCCTACCATGCCCGACTGGAGGCGCCGCACCGGTCCCGCATCCACCAGCGCTGGCTGGCCGACAAGGTGCGCGTCGTCGTGGCAACCATCGCCTTCGGCATGGGCATCGACAAGCCGGATGTGCGCTTCGTCATCCACCACTCGCTGTCCAAGTCGCTGGAGAACTACTACCAGGAGAGTGGCCGGGCGGGGAGGGACGGCCAGCCAGCCGACTGTCTGATCATGTACCGGCTCCAGGACGTGTTCTCGCTCAGCACAATGGTGTTCACGGATGCCGCCACTGGTCTGGACAACCTGTACACCATGGTCCGCTATTGCCTGTCCACCAGCCGTTGCCGCAGACAGCTGATTGCGGAACATTTCGAGGAGCAGTGGACGCAGGCCGACTGCGCGCAACGCTGCGACTCCTGCCAGCGGCCGGTCTCAGCCGAGCGCCGTGACATCACGCGCCACGCGCGGGCCCTGCAGAGCCTGCTGAGTCGGGCGGCTGCGTCGGACACCCGGCTGACAGCGATCAAACTGGTGGACGCCTGGCTGGGCAGCGGGCCGGCGCAGCTGCGGCTGTCGGCCGCCGAGGTTCCGGCCATCACCCGGCCGCGGGCCGAGGCGGTGCTGGCACACCTGCTGACCGAGTCCTATATCAAAGAGGACTTTCACTTCACGCCGTATAAGACCATCAGCTACCTGGTGGCGGGTCCCAACGAGGGAAACTACCCGGTGACGATGGAGGTGGCAGGCAGCACCTCAACTTCATCAGCCGGCGCCGACAGCAGGTCCCCGGTCAAACGACCTACCGCAGCAGCGGGTAAGGTCACAGGCAGTGCCGACAAGACCCCACCTAAGCGGCCCGCTGTATCGGGGGAGAAGGCGGTCAGCGACAAGAGTCGACGCAGGTCGAAACTGTCTGTCTCGGCGAAAGCCAGCCGGCGGACAGAGTCGGAGGGATCCGCTTCCGCTGTCACCGGTGTGAAACGGTCCAAGTCGTCACCCTGTGACGAAGTGGCGGCCAAACGGCGGAAGACGCTGCTGGCCGCCCTGGCTGCTCGTGGCGTCCAGTCGGCTGGGGATGACGTCTCGAACTGCGGCGATACAGCCGACCTCGAGCTTCCGCGGAACAGCTCAGCTGTCTCGGGACTCGCCCCCACAGTGGACCGACCTCTCTCCCAGCCGGACCTGATAGTCTTGGATAGCTGATAGCTACTTGTGCTTCAGCTTCCGGTAAGTGCCATGCACTATTTACTATGTGATGTATCGTGATCTGTTGCGTCGCCTGTGTAACCTTAAAGATGGAAAATAGGTAACCATGTGGAATTTAAAGTGTCGAACGAATCCGATGGCATCAATACATTTACGGTCCCTGTGACCAGTTCATATAGTAATAGATCGCTTTCTCTTATAAGCTTAGTTTTTAACTACTGTTCATTTATCTTCGATTTTTTACCCATCTCATAATGCATATATTGTCCTTTTCGTGCATATCTACCCGTTGCGGCCTTTTATGAATACGTAGAGCAAGCCGGGCGCCAGTCCCGGTAACGCACATTCATGAGCGGTTCGTGGCATTGCGATCCGTCCCGCAGCTCGATCGGCAGAGCATCGGACTCGGGGGGGGGGGGGGGGGAGGGGGGAGTAAGATCTGTGATGAGTCGCTTCGTCCGCTCAGTATATGCATGACTGTTGAATGCGGATTATCGCGGTTGGTAGAAGCAGCCGGAGCCAGTTAGGCGAACCGTGTCTAGCTTTGATTCTTTAACTTCCATTGTCTCCCGATTACCCGGCATTGCTCGATCGAACGATAGGGGCCGTGGTCTGGGAAGTTATGCGTGCGCTATGCCGAGTTGCGGCTCGGTCAACCCGTCCATTCAAACATAGTAGCTTAATTAATAAAAGGGCCCTATGTCTATTTGCCTGCTGGCCTTGGCTGATGGAGACGTGGGCCGGTCGTTCTCCGTCGCAGCCCTGAACGGGCTTTGTTCTCATGGCCGCCGTGGTTCACGGAATGGTTCACGGAACATTCCGTGACGTGGCAGCCCGGCCGGCTGGGCGCTGTGGAAGGAGTCAATGGGTGCGCTGCACCTGTGAATCAGCTGAACCCTAGACGGTTTGGCCCGCTGCCCGCCGATCGAACTTCGTCAGCGCCGCAGGGGAAACAGGGGACTTCCCCGGGCCAACTGGCATGCCACTTGCCTTGCCCCACTTGCGACAAACTGGCGATATATCATGGAAATCTGAATAAAACTTTAAAGTGTTGGTGTATTGTTAAAAAATGTTTCAGCTAGACTGAGAATAGTTACTCAGAGACAAAAAGATGCGGTTGTCTTCTTATCAACTCATGATAGATGCAGTGTAGTACTGTTTCCTGCAGGTACACGCTTTGCTTTGAGCTGTACCTACTTTGATTGCGAATCTTGCAAAAAAAGGAAAACACATTTTTCATTCCCCAAATGCGTACAGGCTGCGCTAACCAGTTTTAAAAGGACGCAACTCGTGAAAATGACAGAGACAATATAACTGCATTTGATTTATTGCTGTTGGGTATAATTATTATTGGAGCTATTAGTTGTACAAATTTTGAAAGATCGTGCTGTTTGCTCTTTACAGGAAGTGTCAAACCGAACCGTGTTTGGTATGCTATACGTAGCTGCTGTTCAGGGGCGTAGGCAGGGGGGGGGCCACTGGGCCATGGCCCCCCCCCCCCCCCTTGGGCGCCGAAGGCGCCCTTTGCGATTGGAGGGCGCCGAAGGCGCCCTCTAATCGCAAATGCAATTGTGATATAATCGAATCGAAAAACAATCGCGACTGGAGGGCGCCCGCCAATCGCGAATGTGTTTACAGGGAAAATAAGGATGGAGGGCGCCCTCGGAGGACGCTCATTCCAAATACGCCCTCCAAATACGGTTGGAGGGCTCCCTCGGGCGCCCTCCAACCACATTTGTAGGCTGTAGCTCTCTAAGCGTAACGGTGGTCGCCTATGTAAGCCGCTGTCCTGTAAATAAGCGCCCTCTCACCCGAAGGCGCCCTCCTGTAGGTCGCCACCCTGCTACACATTGCCGCCCTTCTGCTGATCGGCGTCCTCATAATTATTGGCGCTTTCCTACCTATTGAGCCCTCATGTGAAATTTTGAAGGCCGCCTTTCTCCCTTTTGGCATCCTCTTGTTCAGTGCCGCCCTCCTACCTATTGGTTCCCTAGTCCTTCCTGTTGAATGTTAATCGGGGCCCTTCTCCTATTGGCGCCCTCGTGTAGATCGCCGCCCTCCTAACCACTGGCACCCTCCTGTTGATCACCGCCCTCCTATCCACTGGCACCTTCCTGTTGACCAGCGCCCTCCGCACAGACGCCCTCCTGTTCGTGTCATCCTCTTGAGCAAAGGCGCCCTGCTCACCATTGCCACCCCCATTTTAATCGTCACCCTTCCGCTCATTGGCGACTTCCAGTTGATGACCGCCCTCCCACCTATTGGCGACCTCTTGTTGATCGCCACCCTCCTATTGGTGCTCTCCTGTTCCTCGCCACCCTCTTACCTGGTGGCGCCCTCCTGTTGATTGTTGATCGGCGCCCTCCTACCTATTGGTGCCCTCCTGTTGATCGCTGCCCTTCTATCCATTGGCGCCCTCCTGCTGCTCGCCAACTTCCTACCTATCGGTGCCCTACTGTCGAAACTCGGGATGTTGATCGGGGCTCTTCTACCTATTAGTGCCCTCCTGTGGATCGCAGCCCTTCTACCTATTGGCAACATCCGTTGATCGCTGCCCTCCTATCATTTATTTACTCCTTTGGCATGTTTTTCAACTTAGTCGTTCTATTGCACATAGTTGATGTCTTGCCTGTGAAAACTGCCACAAATGAACGTGCATTCAGCACAATGAATGAAGTATCTATACCTACCAAAACTATCTACGCTCTACGATGCATAAAACACGTCTTTGGTCTTAACGGATTGATCCTACTTTACGTGCATCATGGCATCTATATGGATTACGATTAAGTATTGTCAACAGGTTCGGGCGCAACAGCAGGCATCTGAAGTTTCGGTGATTGAAACTGGTTATGTGGGTACACTGTATGCATCTGTGAGAAGGCTATGAAGGCTGGTCTGAGGTAATTTGGATGATGTTTACGCATCTCGCGCTCCGGTATCAATCCGATACGGTGATCTGGTGCGTAGATATGCCACCGCCAATAAACTTTTATACATCGACACCCATGAGCCAAGCTTTCTGTACAGTTTGTGTGGCAGCGGCCCGACCAAACCTTAGGTATTTTTTACACCTTCAAATTTGGTAAAAGAGCGAGAGGAGCTTTGAACAGTGATCGTATAAAAGGCGTGCCTAAAAAGCGGAGGAAAAGGTTGTTATCAAAAATTTCGCGCGCCTTCGGCGCAGCATTTCAAGAACACTTGACCTTTTGTGACCTGGAGTATAATGAATACACACGATGCAAAATCAATGCAGCACGACCTATACGAGGTTACGCAAAAAAAAAACTGGTGGCATGGTAAAAAACGCCTCCCAACCCCCCAACCCCCACTGAGCGATTTTTTATCTCGCGACCGTATGGCGCCCTCCTTGGGTGAGGTGGCGCCCTCCAAACCCTTGGCCCCCCCCTTCGCGATTTTCTAAATACGCCGCTGCTGCTGTTTCCCCGTTTTTTTTTTCTCTCACAAACTTTTGCAGTTTTCGAGGACTAGGGAGGCCGTTGACTCAACACGTCGTTCCGTAGCAAACTGTTGCATACTTGGTTATTCCTCGGATTTCGTCTGGTGACTATTCGTAAAATGAGTCGTCGTGGCATTGTTAGCACCAGCCACTAAGGGCCGGAGCTTCACTGCCGCTGGGGAGTTTTGGGTACTCGGTCATCGCATAGGGATTTCCCCGCGAGCCAGCGCTGCCAGGCGGGCGGCCCGGCAAAACGGCCTGTGCCTTTGTGTCGGCCGGCGGAACAGGAGGGGCGCCGAGCTGGCCTTGGGTGTGCCGTGTACTGCAGGGCTGCAGCGGAAACGGGTGAGTACCTCGGACTGCCGGTACCTCTGCCTGTAACGTACTGCTTATAGCTTGTATCCATAACATGTGCACTTGTGAAGTTGTTAAACCTATGAAGCTAGCTGTTTCGTGATCTTTGCTGAAGTTTGCTAAGTCAGTGGTTAGACTTTAGGTAGGGGAGAGTGGGGTAAGATGCCCAGGGTGGGAAAGACGCCCCACCCCCTCTAGCGGCGAAACAAAGAATCGGACCTGGAAATTAATGTTCTTAGCGTAAAGCGGAAGCCTGCCTTGTTAACTGCACAAAAATTTGCGAAGCTCAGTTGGGCAACGGCTGGCTGATGATTGCATGTTTTTTATTTGCTGCTTTCAAAAAATATTTTGGTGTCAAAACATTGTAAATATCAAAGAAGGTAAATAATTTTTGCGTCCCTTGCTATAGTCGTGATACATAAGCATGCGTGTACTGTGTCCCAAACAGTTTGTTTCAGGGTGTAGTTTTATGGCTAACAAATTGTACTGATTTAATGTTACTTCGGTACCTTGGGGTAAGATGCCCCTGTCCTGATGGGGAAAGACGCCCCCCTAAATCCGTAGGCTGTCATTCAAACAGCCCGTCAAATCATTTATTACATACTTGTGATGTAGACAAAAGCCGATCTGGGACTATTGAGAGTCCAGTACGGTCGGGTGCTCACCATGCCGGTCTCTCGGCCCACGTAGCGACTTTTTGGGCGGCATCTGACTCTGAGAGCCCTCACGACGGCCTCTGTGGGCCCCATTATTGGCTCCAGGGCCCCTCACGACATCCTTTGAGGGCTCCCACGTTGGCCCCACGGGCCGCGCTGGCATCGGAGGTCCCCACGATGGGCTAGAGGGCCCTCAAGCATCATGAACACCTATAAGAGCCCCACAGTGGTCTCCAAACGCCACCACGGAGGCTTGTTTGGCCGCGCTGGACTATGATGGCCCTAACGATGACCTCTGAAGCCACTTACGACTACTTTTGAGGGCCCTTATGATGATGATGTTTGGTGTCTACTGCAGGCTCGAAGGGACTACTGATTCGTTCAGGCGATTCACGTGCCCATTTATGTCACTTATAGTGCAGGGGGCATCTTTCCCAACGTCAGGGGGCGTCTTTCCCACCCTGTGGGGTAAGATGCCCCCTTTCACTTCTTCAGGAAAATGCTTAATAGCAAAAAAGAAGTTATAATATTTCAGGGACGAAAGTGTGATATTTTTGGAGAAAAATGATGTCGGCTTCCGTTGAAACTCCAAGTTTTTGCTTTCCCATCGTCATTTTCGAATAATATATGATACAGCAAAACCCTGGGCATCTTTCCCCACTCTCCCCTATATTAAAATGATTTGGATTGCGACTATTTCTATATTCTCTGCTCACAGTGTCTGTCTGTATTTACATACAATGAGTATGCAATGCCTTGAAATTAGGTAGGTAGGTATTTACATCATTCAGGAGTAGGTATGCACGAGTAGGTATCTTGTTTCATTTGTAGCTTGAAGGCTTATTCAATACTCATGGTTTGCTTTGTTGAATGGATGTTAATTGGATAATCCCTGAGTGCAATTGACAGCGGTATACCTAAGATGGTTGATAATTTCTGCACTGTCGCAATTTCCAGCAAAAAGACATCCAGAAACCACTTAACATTTATTTAACACTTCACACTTATTCAGTTTATTTTGCTCCTAATACTTTTAATAGACTAATTTTACTATGTTTTACAAATATAGATTTATTTTACTAGATTTATCAAATAGTAAAGGACCTAAGCTGAATAGTTTGCTTACTACCCAGTGGATAGTGTGCACAAAAAAGTGTTTCCTCAAGAGTATTAAGACGTACACACCATTTTCCCTTACTCCTTATGTAGGTATAGGTACGAGTAGTCTAGTGCGTACGCGTAGGATTAGCTTTCAACATGTTATCATGCATATGTGCCTTGTTTCAGACGGCGATCATGGCTATGCTGCCTAGGGCAGCACTGGTGGAGCTCCACCAAAGTCTTCTGAGACTGGAACGACAAGAAGAGGAGCAGCGACAGGAGCAGCTAAGCAAAGACTGCGAGCCAATGCTAGGGCTGGTGGTGGACAGTACAAAAGAACAACTCGACGTGTATATCATGTCCGTGCGTCACAGGTCACACGAGCAGCTGCCAAAGCACTGCATAGAACAGGGCAGCAGGGTAGCGGTATCTCCATCTCTGAGCGTTAGCATAGACTTCGAGTGTGTCGCCTCTTCATTTGCAGTGGTTTCTAAGGTGACATCTCATACTCTTACACTGACGTTTGCGTACGACCCACCCTTGTACTCTGGTCAGATGGTAAACGTAATGCTAAATGAAATATCCCAGCACACCCAGCTGGAAGACGCGATGTCTTGGGTAAAGAATATTGACACGACAAGTTCTACCCATCCCGCAGCTCCTGTGGTGCGGCTTTTGTTTAACGAGGATGAAGGACCAGTTCGTGGACAAGGGCTAGGCAATGGTGTCGACATAGTGTCGTTACAGCCACGTTTCATCAACCAGAACTTGGACGCGTCCCAGCGGCAGGCAGTGGGTCTGGCTCTGCGAGATCGACCGCTGACGGTCATCCACGGTCCTCCCGGTACTGGCAAAACCACAACGATCGTGGAGGTGATTCTCCAGCACGTCGAACGAGGTCAACGCGTGCTGGTCTGCGCACCCTCCATTCTCCAACAAGGCCGTGGACAACCTGCTGGAAGGTGTGTGGAAGCAAACGCGGAAGGCCCACTGGTCTCTGCGTATGGCGGAGGTGACTCGGCTCGGGCACTTGGCGAGAATGGAGGTAAAACACAGACGCTTTTCACATACAGTAAAGCTCAAGAGACGCCTGAAAAGGAAAAGTGGCAAAGAAACACGGGAACAAATTCAAGAAAGGAAAGCCGCATTGGCTGACCTGCTCAGAGAAACCTCCGTGCTGATGAGTACGCTGGCATCCGTGCGCAGTGTAGACCTGGAACACTATTTCGACCTGCTGGTGATCGACGAGTGCGGCCAGGCGACAGAGCCCGCCTGCTGGCTAGCCATCCCACTCGCCAAGCGAGTGCTGCTGGCTGGTGATCCTCACCAGCTGCCGCCGACCATCCTCAGCCAAGAGGCAGCCAGTGGTGGTCTGGCTGTCTCGCTGATGGAGCGACAGATGGGACTGCACGGGGAGGGCGTCGTCCACATGCTGGACACCCAGTACCGCATGCACGCGCTGATTCAGGAGTGGTCCTCGAAGACTCTGTACGGCAGTAAGCTGAAGGCCTCGAAAAAAGTCGCCAGTCGTCAGCTGACGGACTTGCCCGGTGTGAGCAGTACGTCACGGACGCAGCAGACCCTCCTCCTTGTGGACTCGGCTGGATGTGGTCTTAGGGAGGCACAGGATGTGAATACCAGCTCGCACAGCAACACTGGCGAGGCAGAACTGGTGGTTTGCCACGCGAGATCCCTGATCAATGTGGGACTTCAGGCAGAGGACATCGGCGTGATCACCCCATACAAGCAGCAGGTGAAGCTCATCTCTGCCAGACTGCGCACAGCTGGATTGAACGTGGAGGTGAACTCTGTGGACGGATACCAGGGTCGTGAGAAGGAGGCCATCCTGCTCTCTCTGGTGCGTTCCAACGCACGCGGTCAGGTGGGCTTCGTGGGCGACCGGCGGCGGCTGAACGTGGCAGTGACACGTGCGCGGCGGCACTTGTTTGTCGTATGCGACACATCCACCGTCTGGCAGAACAAGACGATTCGCTCTTTTTTGGAGCACATGGATCGCAGCGGCGAGACACGCTCCGCGTACTGTGAACGATGCCCTGGTGGGAAGAAGGGACGTGAAACCAGTGCGGCATCTTCACTTCTTCCGTCAGTCCTCGCTGCGTCTCGACAACCAAGATCAGTCGGCAGTCGGCAGCCAACATCGGTTGGCAGTGGGCAGCCGAAATCAGTCGGAAGTATGCTCAAACCGAGACCTCTGGAGGGCAAACGCGTGGATGAGGCCTCGGTTGCAAGGCTGACTGAAAGCGTAGGCTCCATGACCCTGAGATACAGACGCACTGAACTCGTCCGTCATTCAAACCAGTCGCCACTGCCTGCGGCCTGCGGTTCCTCAGCTACTGCATCTGCTGTCCGTGGCTCTGTGTCCGTCGCCCCTAGTTATACGTCCGTGACCCGTGGCTCCAAGTCCGTCACTCATGGTTCTGAGCCTGTCATGCGTGGTCTAGATTCCGTCACGTGTGATTCTGATGTCAGTGCCCGCGTCGGGCGTGGTTCTGTCTCGGTCACTCGTGGTTCGGCACTCAGCGTGTCGGCTACGCGTGGTTCCGTATATGGGACATGTGATTCTGATGCCAATGGACCAGCCATTTGCAGAAGCAATGCATGTGCGGCTACAGGTCGCCCCTCTGCAGTCAGAGTGTCTGACGCTCCAGGTCGCAACTACCCAAGAGAGCCTGTCGGTACTTCTACCGATCTGCCGTGGTTCTGTCGCATTCTGTGATGCAACAACTTTCACTGGCTGCGCACTGCGCAATGCCCACTTCTCGTTGCTGGAGTCTTTCACATCGTTGTTCCCTTGATCAGGGTTACTACCTATGTAAATGCGAGGAACGTGATGGCTTCAAGTGTACATAAAACGTGGGAATATGTTACCGTCATAGGCTCATTTGAGGGGATGTCGCGACACTTTTCAAAGAACTGTAGCGTGCAGCGTGCGTGTGCACAAGCTAGTGCTAAAATGTATGTACCAAGCAGCCATGCTACTTCTCTCATTATGTATTCGTTACACAGAAACCTTTCTCTTATTGATTATGCTGTACCAAGAAGGAAGATTTTGGAAATAGCTACTTAATTTAGACGATCTTATGGGGCATGCTTATTCGATGAAAATCACGTTTCCACTGATCATTTAGCATTGAAATATACAATAAAAATATCTTGTTTGTGCCTTCAGGGTGGATTGGGCGAGGCACTTGATTGTGCATCATGCAATAGGCACACCAAGTGCATTTGTCACCATGTGGCGGTGGATGATACGATTGAGCGAAGGGCAAAGTGACGACTCTTGGTTGTGAGGCTCCTCTTCCAAATAGCTCTTGCTAAGACGAAGTAGATAGGATAGAAGCAACAGTAAGACACAAAGTTTCGCTAAGTTGCGGCTTGAGTATGTTTATTTGGAATATAAATGCAATACACTTCGTGTAACTGATAACTGTTACATGCAAAATTAACATTGTAAATAGTCCCGGACATGATGACACGATTCTTATCAGTGTTATATATCTACATGGAAACGCTTCAACATCATAATCAACACCCCAGCACAGGCAGAACCTCGGATGATCCTGAGCCACTCAATCGCACATGGTCCATCCGTCAAACGCCAGCCGTGCTCTGGCGGAGCTCTCAAGGCAGCTTCTTTAGCTCGGCACTCAGTGAAGCGGGTTTAGAGGTTGACTCTGAGCCGGCGGGACGCGGCCGCTGCTCTGCCGACGGACGAGCCGGAGGGCTCTCGGGAGCCTCCGCCGTCCCTGTCTGCCAGCCAGGTGGCTGCCAGTCACAGCTCCGCCGAGCCGGTGCACCTTACCCCCGGGTGCAGTCCGTCTGATGGCCGGCTGACGTGGTCGTCCGGCCCCGACCCGTGTGGCGCGCTGCGCGCTAGTCTTCCTGGTCCGAGTCCGTCGATACGCCATGTGGGCGGCGCCAGACTCGTTGCTCCCACATCCGTCCGCATTGACCTCGACGCCAAGCTGGGAGGGAATGGCGAACGGTGTCGATGCAAATGACATACGGAATTTCAGTAACAACGAAATTGATTAACCTTTTTAAATGTTAATTTTGAATTAGTTGATTTATTAGGGCGGCATTTGCTTCAAAGCTTCGTAGATAAATGAGTTATTTTAAGTTGCATTGTTCTTTTTACTTAATAATGCAAGAAACCTTCGCCAGTCTCCTCGTCAATAACACTGGACACGATTGAAAAGGCGAATAGAGCAGTGCATTATGACATGCATATGAATTAACAAGTGGGTAAGAGCTGCTCACCTGTTTCATCTGCCGGATCCAGGTGAGGTCGTCGGATCTGGGGAATTTTCTGGGCCGGCCCCGGCGCGGCGGCATGATGCGTCTCCATGCCTGCCACTCCTCCTCCAGCATGCAGTCGGGCATGGCTCGGAGCGGCGGTACCGACCGGCGGCGCGCGGGCGGGGCTGCCGCAGGGTAGCCCAGTAGGTCCAGTTCTTTTTGCACCGTGCGCCGCAGACGTGTCAGAAGGTCCCGGCTGGGCCGCTGCCGGGTGACGCCGGTGCGGTAGCCGAGCTGGGCAGCCTCGGTGGTATCAGGACTTGGCGGCGGCGGTCCCCGCAGCAGCGCCAGAGCGGCAGCTGCGTCCAGCAGCTGCAGCTGCAGCGGCACCGTGTATACGGCGGGACGAGCACCGGTGTCATCAGCGAGCGGCCGGAGGTCTGAACCCGGACCCGTAGCGCTAGCGGCTTGCTCTTTTTTCTTCACTTCTGAAGGCTTTTCTTTCATCTTCCTGTAAAGTCTTGTTTGCTTGTATGATTTTCTCTCGTCAGGCTGCCGCAAGTTGTAGGACGCGCTTAATTTTATGGTCCTTTTCTTACGTTGTCGTCCTCTGCGCTTTAGGTGCTTTGAGCCTTCGAAACCACTGTGCCTATTTCGCGAGCAGATTTCTTCGACGGGTATTGATTGATGAACCTCCTCCTTTGCGAAGCCCCTAAACCCTTCTTTCTCCTCTGACAGTGGGCTGGATGGGCTGGGTAGGACATAGCTGGTTTCCTCTACAAGGTCCCGAATCTGATCGACCGCCTGTACGCCGTCCAACCGATCCTGTACCGTCTGGGCAGCACTTCTGGCACATCCGGTCACAAGCTCTTCCATGGTAAAACTGAGCACGGTGGTGAGGGAGGCTGCAAGTGGTGGTTTGTCACCAGGCCGTGTCGTTGTCCCGGTACTAGCCTGGGGCGGTTCTGGACTGAAGGAGCTGGAGGGATAACTGTTGTCTGATGTATTGCACGACCAGGACTCCAGGAGAGGGTGCAGAGACGCCAGCACGGTAGGAGATGATGGAGCAGAGAATACGGCCTTCACAGGCTCCAACGCCGCCAAAGGAACGGGAGAGGTTGCGATTTCCGGCCAGTCCTGTACCTACAACAGTGCGTCGTTAGCTTTTAGATATCCGGAATTATGCACGATTTTTTCGCCGATTAGTTCGCCTTATACCTACTCGTCCTTTCCAGAAACCACAAGGGGACCACAATGCTCCAAAGCTACCAGATAAGGACCTCGAGATATATAAATGTTTTTTGTACTTAGCTTTCACGCCATAATCAAACAGTATCCTCGTAGCCTTGACAATATGGATACCTATGCAATCATCTGGCGTTTGTTTGTTTCGTCTGGCAAAGATGATGCCATTTGAAAGGGACCCAGGTAATGCTGTTGGTGAAGATACCTATATGTTCTGCTTTTGAGGGGAATTGAGGGAGAGGTTCTAACCTCAGTGGGCTCTGCCGGCGAATGTTTCGTGGGAGCAGAACCAACTGACGCAGACAGACAGAGACGACATCGCCAGTCGAGCTGAGCTTCTTCGGAACACGGCACGTCCCGCTCCTCGACACAGTACAGATGGTACTGACTCCCGCAGCCGCGGCAGGAGAGCAGCTGAAACACGGTTCAGGTGACAGCGAGTACCACCCACCATATGACGACGGCTGTACCGCGGTTAGTAAGTGGCTAATGGTGGGCCGCCGCCCGACATTTTACATGGTCATTGGTCAAACAATGGCTTGCGCGTATACAAAAAGTACACGTAAATAAATCGGATGCTCCTTTTTAAGCGACAGGCTTAGCTGGTTTAACTAACGGTACCTCAGTGTCCGGATCGGCTCCGCACAGTGCGCATGCGGCGACGGATGGCGACAGGTCGCCGACCAGTGTCACTCCGTGTAGCCAGACCTCGGCAGGGCTGTTCAGCATGTCCATCAGCTCCGCTGTGCCATCAGAGTCAGGACTGGGGCTCGGACCTGTCTCCGGTGGAGATAGCTGCTGCTTCGAGGCCGGTCTTCGACCCCGTTGCGCATTCGGGCCACCTGATTGATAGGAAAGGGGAGGGGCTAACCAGAGAGCCTGCCATTGAAAATCATCCTGTCACTTGTTATAAGCTCGGTATGTTGAGTGGTTAGGGATACCGGATTTGCACTTTGCAGCCTCACCCTGCAGAGTTTGTAAAGCGACGGTAAGGCTCGAGAGACCGACCAACTTATCTACAATGACCAAGACACATACACATTGCTTCAAGCGCTTCACAAATTTCCCCTTTCTTTCTTACGTTTGCCAGAGCCATAGTGGCCGCCTGTGTGCATCACATCACAAGCAACGTCCTTGCGCTGCGCGTGTGTGAAGAGTCCAGATTTCTCTATACTCGCCGAACTCTTATTTTCTTATTTCTCTAATATTTCTCATATTTGATCTAAGCTCATGGGTTTAGCCTCCAGAGGGTAAAAACTCAAAATTTGTCGTTGTTACGGTAGAAGTTTTTGCATGATAACTTTTTTACTCCAAGGTTGTATTGCGCTGATTTTAACGGCGTCGCGGTTGTCTCGTCGAGACGCGTCGAATAAACAATAATTGTTGACTTAAAAAGATCAACTTAAGAATTTGACCTCAGGTCAAGGTCACGGAAAAGGTCATGTTGCATGGCATTCGATTCGTTTTGTTGGGCTGAGAACATTCATTGTGTTTTCAGCAATCTAGCATGTTTATACCTAAAGTCGTTGTCAAAAACTGTTTGAGACGTTTCACGACCTGAGTTGACCTTAGGGGTCTAAAAGGGGGTCACAGGCGCAATTTTCGGGCTCACCTCCGTGTCACTTTCACCTGTGCCCCGATGTTTGAGGATGTTTTCTGCCAAAAGAAAAGCATTTAATGGAGAGGTCACAAAGTTGACCTGATCTTAGGCCACCGATAGATAAATTCCGAGATATGCGACTTGTAACCGATTTCCTCATGCAATAGCAGGGGCGCGGGAACTACTTTCAGACTGGGGGGCACACCATAATAGAGATCAACCTAGGGTAGGTACCTCCAAATCTAGTTTTCTCGCTGGTTTTAGGCCAATTATTTTACATCCCTTGGCTTTTTCAGTAAGAAATGAAACATTTGCAAAAAAGTGCGGTATTCCGTCTGAAAGCATGGGGGCACCGCCCCCACAGCCCAAGAGTTAGGGGGGCAAGCTGTCCCCACTGCCTCCCCCCCCCCCCCCTCGGTTCCCGCGCCTATGTGTAATAGCTTGAGCTTCAAACTTCTGGGATGTATAGTGTATACTGTAGAAATGACTGAATCATTAAGTTTTTTTTAGAGACATGGTTACTTAAATTGCCCTGGTACCATGACCTTACGTGACCTGGGGTCAAAAATCTCGCACACGATGCGAAATTGATATATCATACCAAGTTTCGCGGCGTTGCGCGGCGCAGTTTTCCTTACACTCGCAAAAAAAAACTGGTAGGTGTGGCCAAAAACGCATACTCGTCCCCCCACCCCCACCCCACCCACCCACCCACTCGGTCGAAGGTGAAGCTTGGGTTAAGCTACTTCCATACCTGTGCGTCTTGATAACAAGGTGTGAGCACGCTCCCGATGAAATGACTTTTTATGAGCTGGAAGTGACCGCGAGGTTCTCTTCAAATATTTGGCCTGGAAACACCGATGAGGGCCGATATCAAAAGATCAAACATGGTTCGAACTTATAAGAAATAATTAGAAATAATGTAACCTTTGTTAGGTTCCGTATTCTCAGCCGTATGGTATTTTGGGTAACAACAAATGTGGCATATTAGGAAAAAGGTATCAGAGAAGGCGAACCTACGGTGCAGGATTAGGATGTGAAAGATAACCTACATCTGTCCCAAAAACTACAAGTGCCCCTTTTCAACTCCGCATGATCACTTGCTGCCCTTATGTGAAACTAGTTTGGTTAAGAAGCATCGGTAGTTTTTAGAGCCCAATTCGTTATCCCGCGCCGTGCTTTCGAAACACCCAACGCATAACTCGGTAACCAGTAGATATACATACAGCGCCGCGGAATAGCGCGATCGATAGCTTTTTTAACGCTTTTTCGCCATCACGTCCTCCATCACATCCTCCATCATGCCAATTTGACCTCAGGCCAACGGTCTAGCCTCCAGCCCAGGGACGTAGCCAAGGGGGGGCGGAGCGGGCGCCCGCCCCTCCCTTGGGGTTTTCAGGAGGCCCCCCGAAAGGATTCAGGCCAACGTGGGCCGAAGGCCCACGTTGGCCTGAATCCTTTCGGCCTGAATCCAACGTAGGCCGAAGGCCCACGTTGGCCAAAATCACGTCGGAGGCGAACGAAATTCACGCGGGAATCTAAAAAATGACGTCAGAACAATCAGGGCCCTCTGACCATCCTGACAAGTGACAGCTAGGGCCCTTCTCATCTCCTGTGAATAACCACTAGTGTCTGTGTCTGACTGCTAGGGCCCCTCTGACTCCTCAGTAGAGAGGAGGCCCTCTGTGGGTAGGAGGCCCTGTGTAGAGAGGAGGCCCTCTGCAAAAAGGAGGCCCTCTGTAAAAAGAGGCCCTCTGTAAAAAAGAGGCCCTCTGTAAAAAAGAGGCCCTCTGTAAAAAGGAGGCCCTCTGTAGAGAGCAGGCCCTCTGTAAAGAGGAAATCGTCTGAAATCAGAAGGCCCTTTGAAGAGAGGAGGCCCTCTGTAGAGGAGGACTCCCTCAGTAGAAAGGAGGTCCTCTGCAGGTAGGAGGCCCTCTGTAGAGTAAAGGCCCTCTGAAGAGAGGAGGCCCTTTGCAGAGATGAGGTCCTCTGTACCTATAGAGGAGGTCCTGTGTAGAGACGAGACTCTGAAGAGAGGAGGCCCTACATATGTAGATAGGAAGCCCTCTGTAGAGAGGAGGTCCCTGTAGGGACTAGAGAGGAGGCCCTCTGTAGAGAGGATCCCCTCTGTAAAGGAGGCCCTCTGGAGAGAAAGACACCCTCAGCAGAGAGGAGGCCCTCTGTAGATAAGAGGCAATCTGTAGAGAGGAAGCCCTCTGTAGATAAGAGGCCCTCTGTGGGCAGGAGGCCCCCGGTAGTCAAAGACAGCGTCGTATATTAAGTACATAGAGTGGAGGCCCACTGTAAGCAAATTACCTTCTGGCTTCTGTTCCCTGCTACTCTCTATAGAGAGTTCTCAGTTCTCTATAGTGAGAACTGAGAACTCAGGAAACTGTACAGAATAGACTCCCAACCGCGTCGCCGCCCACTGTAGGAACTAGGAAGGAACAGGGGAGGAGGTCCTCTGTAAACAGAAGGCCCTATCCTATGTAGACAAATTATTTGTATAAATGCGCTCAGAGAAATCATGCCGGGTGCCGTCAACGGTTTTGCCGTCAACGGTTTTACCTGCAGTGGCCGCAAAAACTGCCAAAATAGCCGATATTTTCGGAAACCAGTTTTCGGCAATAACCTACGTCTCAAAATTTGCACGAACTTCCCTTTACCAGCATCGTGTTCCTCTCGTCAAGACGTGTGGAATGAACTATCAATTGACCTTGAAAGGTCAACTTGAAAATTTGGCCTCAGGTCAAGATCATGACCTGACCGATAAGGGCTAAGTTCCATATCAGTCCATCCGTATCGTCGAGCCAAACACAACTAAGGTGTATTCATCGCTCTAGCATGCCTCTATCAAAAGTTATTCGCGAAAAACAGTCAGATACCATTGGTGACCTGAGATGACCTCAGGGTTATCAAAAGGGGTCACGGGTGCCATTTTCATGTTCAGTGTGTCAAAGATACTAGTAATTCAGTGTTTTAGAGTGTTTATAATGACTTCCGTCTAAAAAGGCGACTTTCAATTTAAGGTCGCAAAATTGACCAGACCTTTGTCATCGATATCAAAATTCCAAGACATACACTTTTTGCATTTTGTCGCTCTTGTGCGTTTGCATCTCTAAAAGTTTCAAAGTGTTTGGTCACTCCGTGTAGCTTTGGCAGACATCGAAACTTTTATGTAGTGAGGTCATTTGACCTGACATGGTGACCTGACCTTAAGTGACCAGAGTCTGAAATTTTCACAACGTATGTAGAAATGATGTAGGATAAAGTGTGCCGCGCCGCCGTTTTTGATATATTCACGGAAAACTGCAGGGGGTGTTTAACACCCCCCCCCCCCCGGCAGGGCGCGGGTTAAAGGATGAGCAGCCCATTTCTGTAATATATACCTGTGGCTGTGTTGGTATTTTTACGATGGATGCAATTACCCAACCATTTATCAGACCGTGGTGATATTCCCATAGCCATGCTTCGCACAACTCATAATAATTTATTTTACCGGGAAATTAATATATATCTATCCATCGATTGTTTGTTTCATCTACGGCGTAAATGAAGCAAACCACCTGGACCTAGGAAAATTTACTAACGGAACCACGTTTTACTTACAGCAAGTAAACGTGGCATCATTCACACAGAAAAAATTGATAACCGTATAGTTTCAATCTTGCAGACGTCAGTCAGGTCAGAATCGTGACAAGCCTATTGGAAAATATAATGAACTGTGTCCTGCTTCGAGAAAACGAGTCAAAACCACCCAATTCTTTCTGAATTACGTCAGATTATCTGATCTGTAAGCACCCAGGTGGCATTTACTGACAGGGGCACCGGGAAGGATCATCTGAGGTGAGGTGAGGTCATCAACAGTTTTTAGCCAATAAATCACGACATGATGGGGCTAAATAGTTGTTAGTGTACCAAACCGTTCGCCTGGTCATGCGCCGATTGGTACCCAGCGTGACCTTCCTAGGTCAGATTATGAAGTTGACCTATCTATGTAGGTCGTGATAAACCATGTTATTTGTTATGACCTCTGGCGACCTCAATAGGTATTGACCTGACCCAAAAAAGTTGTTTGCAAAAGTTGTAAGTCGTTCAACGAACTATCAAACGCCGTTGCCGTTTGTCGCTACGATTCGTGCTTTTCGAGTTCTGACGGGGGCCAAAAAGGCCCCCGCCCGATTCAGAGTCTTTCAGAGCCCGCCCGGAATACGGTTAAGCGCTTGAACGATATATGATAATACACCAAGTGTTACTCTGACCGTCATCCAGTATCCACCCATTCCTCGCAGATACTCCCCCTCCTGCTGCGGTTCGGCCGCCACCGCCGCGCCGCCGCAGCCGGCGCTCGAGTTTTTTTTCTTTTTGCCAGTTACCATGCCACTCGGAGACTTGTGATATGCGTATGTTTCTTACCGCTGCAGCGGTAAGAATAAAGAAACATACCAGTGCGCTGGCCATATGAAAGCTGAACCAAAGTCTGCATTATGTTGCATATGTAATTATGTAGGCATGAGACCCTCTGTAGAAAGGAGGCCCCTTTAGGGAGGAGGCCCTCTGTAGAAAGGAGGCCCCCGGGATTCCTCCGCCCCTCCCTTGGCCAAATCCTAGCTACGTGCCTGCTCCAGCCAGTGGGCAAAAATTCTAGTTTTTTTTTACGAAAATTGTTTTTATGTAATAGCTTTAAACTCGAGGGAGCTACGACATTATACTTTTGCCGCATCGTGTTCCTCTTGTCGAGACGCGTCGAATGAACTATAAGTTGACTGAAAGATCATTTTGAAAATTTGACCAGGTCAAGATCATGACCTGACCGGAAAGAGTCATGCTCCAGATCAGTCGATCCGTATCGTCGATCTGAACTCATCTGACATGTTTTACTTTTCAACGCTCTAGCAAGTATCTACCAAAGTTATGGTACAAAAACTGCTGGTGACCTTTCATGACCTGAGATGGCCTCAGGGGCACAAAGAGGGGTCACGGGTGCAGTTTTCTGATTCAGTGTGTCACGTTTATCTATAAACTGATGTTTGAGTGTTTAAAACAACATTCGTCCAAAAGAGGTGCATTTCAATTTACTCCCATTGACTTAAATGTAGAGATCGCAAAGTTGACTTGACCTAAGGTCACAGGTATCAAAATTGTGAGATAGACATTTTATACACACTGTTACTTTTATCAACCGCTGAAAGTTTCAAAGTGATCGTTCATTGAATGTAGGTACTAGCTACACCGGGCCTTTCAACTTTCTGAGGTAAGGTCACTTGGCTTGACCTGGTGACCTGACCTTGAACGACTGGGTCTGGAATTTACACAACATTGTTGAAAAGAGGTATGAATAGATTTACTGAAAATGGTGACGCTTCGCGCCGCCGTTTTTGGGATATTTGCGAAAAAACCTGAGGAGGGCTTCAAAACGCCTACCTCGCGACCCCCCCCCCCCCCCACCACGGCACGGGTTATTGCAAGGAGGACTCGCAAGAAGTGCAAGAAGGTACCTATCCGATGTAGTTGTTTAATATTTTCGGCACCAATAGTCAAACAAGGTTAAGTTTAATTCAGACATTGCTTTCTTTTTAAACATTGAAATAAATTCATGATATGAACGTATTTGTTACAAAAGAGATTTGGTTGGATTTGTTCAACTATGGTGCATTCGCTAGGTAACATCTTGTGGAAAAGGCTTGGTACCTACCAGTTATTTTGTAATCCGAAGGCGATGCGCACTCACCTTTCTGCCAGCAGTAGGTCGATTGTGTGGTGCCATTCTGTCTATAGCGGCCAAGTATTTCATTTTCGCGAGTTTTTAGGTGATCTTTTGATACTGCTGGCTGTTAAACTCTTTTCTGAATTCGCATGTTCAATAGAAGGACGTGATTCTCGACAAAATGTGACCACCATCGTGTTATGGCATATGCGCATATGCGCCGGGCAGCATGTATAATGTTATAAGGTAACTTCTAAATGCATCTAGCTCCAGCAATTAAAACCAAGATTACTTTACTAATTAAAACTGCCCTTTGACTTTGCCTTTAACCATAACAAGCAAAAGAAAGATGCATCAAATTCAGTCAAAAAACAAATACCTCGTGAACGCATTGTTTAGATTGTAGTTCAAAGCACTTCCACGTCATTGTGTTTTCTGCCAGATGGAATGGTCAGCGCTGAAAGACATGTCAGCTTGCCACAGTCCCGAAGCCGGAGGCCCCATCCCTATTTCTATCGGGATATTATCTAATTTTTCCGATTTTGACCTTTCTTATGACCCTGTCGCGTACGTACAACTCATTTCAAGCGTAACCTCTTGATATGGTAAAATTTAAAATAGATCGTAAACTCTGCTGCCGTGATCGGCATGCGATGAAATTTATCAGCGAACATTCAAGGGCATCCTAAACAGAAAACGTTGTCTTGTCGGAACTCGGAGGAAATGCGTCTCACAACAGTGCTGAAACTTGTTCATCAATAATATTATTTATTGCCACAGTCATCAATCAAGAGTCCAAGACCACGCTGCTATTCAGATATCACACATGCAACCAGATATTTCATACGTTCAATGGACGATGGAAGCATGTTTTCTATCGTCATCGGATAGTTACGAAATCACTTTAACAATGAACATTGTACCTATAGTGTTGACTCGACAATTTATAACGAAAGAGTGGCAGCGAATCGTTCATCCCATTTCTGATTAACATTGCAACTTGCTGTGCACAAGTGATAACAGTGTACGTTAAAAAGAAGGTAGATACAGATCATCATCTGTGACTGTACATCTTGGATTACAATGTCCATTATGTAGTTTGCTGCCCGAAACTGTCACCCAAGGCCCTAGTCACCGACAAAAGGCTTTTGGTTCCTATTAAAGTTAAAAAAAGCAATTGTGGCAAAAGTGATGGGCACACACAGTATGGAAACAGTTTAAACACGCACTGCATATTTCTTCTTTACATTTAGCTAACACATCATTCATATTGACCAGCTACAATCGACTTGAAAAAGTAAATGAAATTGTGATTTATATGCAAGTAGACGTATGTATGCCTGTTAGGCAATGCTGCTTGAAACTCCTGCCTAGAATCTGGTCGAAGCTTCTAAGGGTGTGTCTTGTAGACCCGGATTGTCGATTCCCTTCTTCGTATTAGGCTTGCTCTCTGTAAAATAGCATGATATCAGCACTAAGGCTAAGCTATGTAAAATTTTTAACTTATGGCGACATTAACCAATTGTGCTGTGACATATGCTATTGGCAAATGGCATATAAATTTTCGTACGTTAGCCATGGTGTGTTTAAAACTAAAACAAGTTTATTTATTGATTGATCGGTTGTGGCAACATAAACAAAGTCATTTCCCCCATGTCTAATGCCCATGCCTAACCATACGATTCAGTATAAAATGGCATAACATAACACAAATAAATGTGCATTTAATTACACTGTTCATTAAAATTTGATTCCTTGGCAAGGCTGGAAAGCGAAAACACCTATATCCGAAACTATCTACTAGGAAGTTGAAGCCGAAGGTAGGTAGTATTCAACTTTGTCCTCAAAACAGAAATTCAAGATAAACGGCGAGGATGAGTGGCTCACGTCTTTTTGGGAAGATGATTTTTTCGATGGTCATCATTGGCGACTCGAAGCAGAGTGACAACACCGTGGCTAGTACCATCGAGATGAGAAGATTAGTCAGAAATGAATATACCTGAAACGGGAGAGCATCGCTTTGAAGGTGAATATCAGGGTACAAGGGTAATCTAACAGCCGTTATCATGGTAAACGTCGAATATACCTACTAAGAGTGCAAGCATTCATTGCGCTACGCATTATGCTGGTTGCTGAATAATATCTTTAAGCGATCTTAACTTTTGTTTTACATATAGTGAAAATGGACGGTATGCTTACAATGTATGTGGCAGATATTAGGACAAAATGAATATTTTATCGTTAGCGTGCCTAGTCGGGGCTGCCGACGCTCACCATGATGGTATTGCCGAAGGCGGACGGTATCCGGTACGAGGCAAAGTACCAGCACTGCACCTGCACGGCCACCAGGTACGTGGTGTACGAGAGCCGGCCCAGCGGGATGAACGCCTTGTACGAGAGCAGGGTGTCGACAAAACCTGCCGGGGGTCGGGTTAGCGGCGGGTCAGAGCCACGAATGTGTCAGGTCGGACTGGATTCAGCGCGACGGCGAGCTGATTTTGTTAATGCCATTATCAATACAGAATAGGCCACTACCAACGAAACGGCACAGTGTACCTATATACTAATCACCTGAGGAAGACTAAAATCATATTTTTATGTGTGACAGGACTTCCTGAAATGATGAGAAATTGTCCCAAAATTTCCTTTATTCAACTACATCTTAGGAACATGCAATATTAAGCAAGCATTGAATGACATGAATTATATGTATGGACCACCAATAAGAGCCGCACCAGGTCGCCCGTGCCGCGCGCAGTGGGGGCCCGCGTGCCCGTCACTCACCGCCGTAACCGGTGACGCAGGCGAACACCACCCACGAGATGGCGATGGCCCAGCCGAGCCGGTGCAGCGAGCCGTAAGACACCGCCTCGGCCATGGTGTAGGTGGCCTGCGGGTCCTTATTCCACTGGTGGGTGCTGTACACGATGGTCAGCGCCATAGCCGCCATCACCGTCCACGTGGCTAGGTTCACCGCCTACCGCAGAGTTATAGGTCAGAGGCCAGTTTTACCAACAGAAAAATAGCCGCCTGCCGGAATTTTTTGCCTAAAGACCGCTTTTCATACGGAGCGTAAACGCGATGGGCACGTACGCGGATAGGGCTTTATCGTTTACGCTCTGTATGTGAAGCGGTCTTTAGCGGTCTTTATGCAAAAAAAAAAATCCGGCAGGCGGCTATTTTTCTGTTGGTAAAACTGGCCTCAGAACTCGAAACAGACGAGCAGTCAGGTCAGAAACCAGCCAGTCAGAGACCGACGCGGGAGGTGCCTGATGAAGCCATGAGCGAGCCAAGAGTGCATGAGTGCAATGAGGGTCATTATATATTGACTGAAGTCCGCCATTTCAAATAAGTTTTTATCATTACAGACTGACCTTGGGAATGGTGATGGCAACTTTGTTCGTCTTGATGTGGTGAAGGATCAGCCCAGTGATGATTCCAATGATATAGGGGGATGCACGACACCACGGAACGACGTAAAAGTCCGTAAACATGTCCTCCGTTTTTGCTCTGAAAGAAAACACGATTATTCGATCATTGAGTAGATAAAGCTATAAGCTTATACTTAGCACTTGTTTTAATTACATGCAGCTTAATTTATTTGCTTTTTTACTTAAATGTCCTCTCAGGCACCTAGGAAAACCGCTTTAGAATAAGATACCTTAGATACGTATTAGGTATGCTTAGAAAATAACCCTAAGACATGACACGATCTTAATAACTTCCATGCTACTTCAATAAGATGCCAGCTGATAAGCATGTCTTATAGAAACAGCTGCAGTGGGCTGGCAGTTTCACAGTAGCCTTTAGGGTGAATAGGTCAAAAACGCCCCCCTTAAGCGCGAAACCTTCTGACACTCAACCCAACACAGATTACTTAAACCTTTGGGCACCATCATGTAGCTCATTCTTTTTACTACGCGTTGAGACCAAGAAAAGACACCTGCGTGTGGTATTTAACCCCCCAAAAGGGTTTTCGCATACCCTTACAAAAGGGCGTTTTGCCCCATACCCTGGGTAATACGCCCACACCCATGTGCAAAGCGCCCCCACCCCATCCATCAACAGAAAATGATAAACATGGCAGAACTTGACGTCATTCTGACGTCATTTGTGGTCAACCTATCATAGCCTTTGGAATAAAATTTTGTTGCAATGTGTAAAATGGATGCCCGGAGGAGTCCTGAAAGTTTGGTGACGATATCTGCAGTCGTTTAGGATATATCAGCAAAAAAGGACAGGGAGAGGCCTTTTCGGCCCCGACCTACAGGGCGCTACCCTGCACTCTCACCACCGTGCAAAACGCCCCCCTTTCAGAAAACTGGGGGCGTCTTGCCCCATGCATCGAGTAGGCGTCTTGCCCCATCCACTCCATTTCCGGTCAACAAAATATTGACAAAAAACGCGCCACTAACGCCGCAGCATAATACATTCAACAGAATGACAATAAAACGCAGTTTTGAGTGATGTGCACAATAGCAAGTTTTGTGATATAAAGAGGGCATCAAAATATTAGGAATCTTCTGTAAAAACAACAAAAACCACACCCAAAACCAACATCAGCACCTACCCACGCTGCTCCTCAAGACGCAGAACCGGAAATAGAGACCTACGTAAACAAGCAGCTGACTGTTCTGAAAGACAGGATAAAACACCTATCCGTCGATAAGAAATACGATTTTTTTAGGGGAGGCGTTTAACCCAGGGGTGCGTTTTCCCCACAGTTACCCTACTATGGGATTGTGCCGGTTCCTCAGTTATTGCTATTGACTGGAGCTAGTCCAGTGCCACGGTGTTCATAAACATGAATTCGATACGTTGCTGAATCTTCACCATGTTGTACATAGGTGCCTCACTCACGCGGCCATGGCGTTAAAGAACATGGTGGTGGGCGGCAGGTCCTTTTGGTAGATGACAGTGGCAGGGATGGCCACAGACGCTGCTGTGAGCAGGCCAAGCCAGACGGCGCCTGCGAGGAGGAGACACCATCTCAGAGCAGGGGTCACCAGAGACAGGCACAGCGGATCAGAACGGGGGTCAACAGAGACAGCATCTCAGACCATGGGATCAGTGGAGACAAGATTTAAGACCAGGGATCAGCAGAAGCGGACAGCGGCTCAGATCAGCGTTCAACAAAGACAGAGACAGCGGCCTTAGACACTTGTGCGCCAATCGAGGTGACACTGTTTGTTTTGAATGAATGTGTTAAATACCTATATGAGATGAAATGAGATGAAACCATGGGTCAGCAGAGACAGCAATGCTAAGGCTCGGGCAATGTGACTGACTCACCTATCTTTTTGTTGTACACGAACGGAATGATCATGAACGGAGACAACAAGAACAGCTGGAAGTCGACCGGGAGGTACCAGGACTGGCCAACGCACTGAAAACAGCCATCAACATCGCATGTCATGTAGGTAGCTGTTGCGTCAAAAATTATTTGCTTATATTAAGGCTAAGTGGATAAGTGGAAGTTTGATCAACGCCATGTGACACAGATTCGTTGGGGACCAACCAGCACGTCTTGACATCGTGCTATGCGCCTTCATCAGCGAATAGACTTTTCCTAGATATACCTACTTATCGAAAAATCACGGGTGTTTCAAAACTGTGACAGCAATTTTAACCCTTTGCCCCTTTGAATTTCTTGTAAATTCTCTGAAAACAAAGCTTACGCATCATACCAGCCGTCTTATTGGCTATGCAGAGCCAGCTCACCAGCTCCTCATAGTTGAAGTAGTTGTTGATGTAGAGCAGGTTCCTCCACCAGCTGATCTGACACTGCACGGCCAGGTTTTCCATCACCATTCCCAGGCCAGGCCCGGTGCCGATCCGACGGATTATCGTGGCTGTTATCGCTACCACAACGGCGTACACGGGAGTCAGCCTGCGGGGGAACGGGAAAGGTCAGCCTGCGGGGACACGGGAAAGGTCAGCCTGCGGGGACACGGGACACGGGAGTGAGCCTGCGGGAGAACGGGACACGGGAAAAGTCAGCCTACGGGGACAGGAGATAGGTCAGCCTGCGGGGACACAGGACACGGGAGTCAGCCTGCGGGGACACAGGACACGGGAGTCAGCCTGCGGGGACAGGGGGCACGAGAAAAGTCAGCCTGCTGGGGGAAGGGACACGGGTGTGAGTCTGCAGGGGCACGGGAAAAGTAAAAAGTTTATTTGCCGCGCACGGGACACTGAATAGGTCAGCTTGTCGCGTTCAATGCACGGGAAGATCAGCATTCCTAGCGGGCACGGGAGTCAGCCTGCTGCGGCAGACGGAAAAGTCGATCTGTCCCGCATGGAACAATCGAAGCCACTAAATCCACAATCCATTCTTCACTTGACTGCAGGCCACAGCGAAAGATTGCATTGGTATGACATCATTCATAAAGTTTTTATGTGTACATAGCTACCTACACACTGATCGTCTTCCTACCTGAGATAGCGGTGCAGGTACATCATGGGTACGTCCATCAAGCCCACCCGGCCGCCCTTGGCCGCCACAGTCTTCATGAATGTGTAGGCCACCATGATGCCGCCCAGACAGAAAAAGGTATCGACGGAGAGCAGGCCGTTCATCAGTACCTCTATCGCCGGCGCCTTGATTATCTGGTGGGAGGCGATGCATACGGACGGTCAATGACCATGGCGAAGTCATGTATCGATTTGCTTTTATTGGCTCCACACTCTATACTGATGGGCCTCTTTTTTCGCCTTGAATGCAAATGATCTGTCATTTATGATAGCTTGAAACTCTTGAGAAAATCAAAATACTGTTTTTGTAGGTATTGATGTGACGTGTGCACATGCCGAGCGCCAACGGCACTAATAATCAATATTGCCTGGTGTCTTACATGCTGAAAACTTTGTGCCATCCCAGGTCTTACCTCGAGAATGTAGGCCGTGTTATTCCATGCACCGCCTCCGAGGGCGAAAATGTAATTATGACCTGCCACCACCCACGTCAGCGAAAGGAACCTGCGGCGAAACAAACCGATTTAAAATAAACCAAAATGCCTAGCATTCTATGCTTCATTTTGAAACCGCATGAGGCATTAGACTCGTAATAATGTTGAAAAATCTTACCAATCAAATGCTGTTCTGACGTATGAATTGGTAGGCCTATGTATTTTTACTTTCTTGAGGCAACGCCCAATAGGGTACAGAGAAACACACTGAATCGCAAACATTTCATGGTGAGTGATATCTCAGACCAAGAAAGTCACATTTTTCACCTTCCTACCTCATGCCGTGGATACAGCCGAGGTTGTCAGAGCCAGTCCGGGTCGACAGCAACCTTTTGCCGTTATAGCGCAGCGAGAAGGCGTGGACGATCTGCCAGTTGGCTGCACAGACAGACACAACGGTGGCGATTAATTAGTTGCGTTGAATTGATTACAACGATTCAACTTTAAGTACGTTACAAACATCTAAAATGCGAAATGAAATATGTTTCTACTTTCTATGGTTTCAAATAAATATGTACATATTAACCCGCGCCCTGATGGGGTCTGCCGAGCAACGCGGTCTGATGGGGGGGGGGGGGCATTTTGCCCCCCCCCCCTAAGATCTGGAGAACCACGCAACATAGCGACAAGCGGCAAATGGCGTTAGATAGCCCCAACGGGGAACTACCTTGTGACCCAATTTCATTGACCTCAGTCAAACCGATGACGTCACAGGTCAGGTCAAAGGTCGAAATTTCACCGTTTACAGGCATTTCAAGAAATGCGTTGTAAAATCGAGTAAAATGCATTTCATTGAAAATCATCGATGGGGAAATGTTCATCAAACACATATTTTGCTATTTAAGGTCAGTGATACCAGGTCAGGTCACAAAGGTCAGGTCACTGAGGGTCACAAATTAAAAATATCATGTGATGCATGTTTTATGGTCCATTTTATATGCCAAATGCGATTATGTGGGACAGGCAGCCCTTGGGGTCAGTTGAGATTATGTTTTGGTAAAGGTCAGGTCAAGGTCAGGTCAAATAAGGTCAAATTTTAAAGTTGATATTTTGCATGAAATGGGTATCGATTCGATGCAGCTTGTCACGGGGAGTTCAATGGTCGTCTCCATTTTGCGCTACGAGGTCTGGAATTGCTAAAAATTGAGTTCAAAAATTTGACGTCATCAATTTTTAACAGTTTTTTCGCTATAACTTGGCCAAAAAAAAGAGGTATCGATCTTAAATTTTGTATGTAGGTATATCGAAGAGCGCAGGGACTATCACATATATTCCGTTTATTTCGAAATTTGAAAAAATGGAAATTTTGAGTTTTTCTTAAAAAAAAATCAATTTTTTGGATTTTTTGGGGATCAAAATCAAAAAATTTCGAGAATCTGAGATAGCAATTTTGTAGCGCCGTCTTTTCTCTACACAACCACATAAAGAACATTAAAATTGCTTGTTAACTGTAGAATTGGTGAGCGTTTCAAGATGTCATGTTTTTTGCTCATTTTTACTCGAACATGACCTCAGTTTGACCTCAATAACTCCTGACCTGAGGTGACCTGTGACTTGAAATTTTGTGTGAAGGTGTCAAATTGATGCCCGGTAAGGTACCCAAAATTTGGCGGCGCTGTGCGGCGCCGTTTTATCGCTATTTAAGAAAAACCAAAGGGGGGGGGGGGCAAAATGCCCCCCGCACCATTCGGGCGCGGGTTAATAGAAAATAAATATGAAACAGCATTAATTTGGTGGTATATCGAGGCTAAATCACGTTGCTGATTCCGTTCAGACAGCCTCCCTTTGCCCCCGATGGCCGTTTTGCCGTGGCCATTTTCCCACACTGGTACATACCTGGCGCGAAGGCCGACTCGGCCCTGCCGACAATAGCGTCCCCGGAGGAGGTCTTGGCGGCGCGGGTCACGTAGATTCCCACCACATCCAGGGTGGTACAGAGGACCACCACCACACCAAACACCGCCAACAGTGCGCTGAAACGACAACCAACACTTGTGTCATCCATGATCTCCGGAGTCCGGACCATGAACCGGGACCGCGGACTGCAGCCAATCGTCATAAACGTGTTCATGGGAATTGGGAGATTTGAAAGGAATGCGATACCACTTTTTCTTTGTGAGCTGTTAAAAGTATTGTTTTACATCTTTAGGGAAATCGACTTTGGTTAATGCGTAAAAATTACTCACCTGTGTTACAGGCTATGGTCATTATAAGTACCTACAGGCTGAGTGTCAAAGCATCCTTACCGTTTTAATGAATAAAAAAGCGGCGTTTCTTCTCCCAGGTCAAGGTGGTGTAACCGACCGCACCACTCACATGACAACGATGTCGTTAGTCTCCAGGGTGGCCTTCTCGCCGTCGGTGTGACATCGGACGTCGCTGACGTAGAGAAAGGTGCCGTTTCTGCTGTCCAGCCACTCGTCCAGCGAGGCCTGCCGAAGCGGCAACCCGTGAAATATGGCATGATCGGTCAGATAAAAAAAAAAAATCAGCCCAAGCGGTCACGCCTATGTTGGAAGAAAGATGCTGGTGAGAAAGCAAGAAAGTAGGTAAGACTAATATTCAAAGCTAATCTAACTAGATACAATCGGTAGGCATATAGGACAACCCTAGATATATGCGTCTGCCGGTAGTAGCGTTACCAGCACAGGGTAGGTATAGGCAGTGGCGGCGGAAGCGGGGGGGCAGCGGGGGCACGGCGCCCCCCCATCTTCCAGGGTGGGGGGCAAACATATCTTTTTGCCCCCCCAAAATTGTTATCGACGAAGTACCACAATACTTCCATACTACCTACGTCAGGAACATATGCCAGTTTGGCTGAGTACCTTTTTATTAAGTTGATATAGCGAGTAACTTGGATTGATAATAGCCGTTTTCACGACGGGCTATCCGGCGAGCTAGTCCGTGACGGACTATTTCCACCAAACGCCCTCCACACATAATGCTCAGAAATCAAGCAGAGCTATCTACGAGCTACCGGTAACCGAAGTCTGGAAGAGTAGGACGGAACGCGAGTGGCCCGGCAGGCGACACGGACGTCACGAAAGTGCGTCTGAGCGTGCCACAGGCCTTTCCCCGCGACTCTGCCAGACGCCAGCCGGCATAGGCGCGTGAGCCGGGGGGCAGCATGGGGGCAGCCGGCCCCCACAACTCTGGGGCCGTGGGGTCTCTGCCCCCGCAAAGTTTCAAAGGGCCAGGAACCGTCGGGGCAGCTTGTCCTCCCCATATTAGCGGCCGAGGGCCTCAAAGAAAAGCTGAATGGAAGACAATACCTATTTAAGTAAAAAAATCCCCCTCTGTACGGGGACCCGCAGTTGCTATTGTACACGAACCCCAACTCTAGCCGTCTGTCCTGTCCAGTAACAACCGATAACATTGATATCGACTGCCGGTCCCTGCACAAGAGCAGCTGAGGTTTTCTGTGCGTGCCCTCTGACAGCTTATCGTTGTTCCCTGTGAGGGTGCTGGGACAATTTACTCAGGGTCGCTGTATGTACAGTAGCAACTGCGGGTCCCCGTACCTGACTTGACAGCTCATGTGTGGAAGCTTTAAACGTTTATTCCAGGTTACCAAAAAGGTAGTTTCTTGACTCAGATGAGACTAATTATCTCACTTATTTGCAAATGTTTTATTTTTTATTTTGTTGTAAAGGCCAAGAGGTGAAAAATAAGTGGCCTAAAACCGGTGAGAAAACTAGATTTGGGGGTACCCTAGGTTCCGGGAAGGATCAGGTGTGCCCCCCCATCCCAAAATACCTTCCGCCGCCACTGGGTATAGGAGTTAGGAATAGTTACCATGACGTCCTGCTTGGTGCAGGAAGATGGGATGCAGTAGCCGTATCGGAGCGGCGCAGTGGTGACCACGCTGCCCGTCACCAAGTTGATGACTTTGAACGGAAGGAACGGCACCAGCCCCAGATCCTGAGCGTCGTCCTGCAGTCCTTCTGAAGCCTGTACCGGAGCGAGCGTCGAGCTGGCGGCACGTCATGAATAGATGGAAGTCAGTCAGCTGCTGGAGACAGAAGCATTCAAAAGGGCAGGCACAGTGGCGCGGGAACCGGGGGGGCTGGCGGGGGCTGAGTCCCCCCAGCTTTTCGGCTGGGGGGGCTCGTAATATATTTGAGCCCCCCCCCCCCAGCTGGAGGAATCGAAGTCGGAAATCTACCAACATAATTTCATAGATTCATACATAGGCGTGGGAACCGGGGGAGGGGGCAGTGGGGGAAGCTTGCCCCCACAACTCTGCGGCCGTGGGGGCGGTGCCCCAAAACGTTTCATGAGGCCAGGAACCGTTGGGCAGCTTGTCCTCCCCAAATTAGGGGTTGTGGGTCACAAAGGAAGAAAGCATGTAAGTGAAAAATCCACCTATTTCACTGGCTCGGCAACTCATTTGGCAGATTAAAACCTTTCTCCAGGCTGCCAAAACGGTAGTTTCTTCACTCAGCTGAGACGGAATACCTTACTTTTTGAAAATCTTTTCGTGTTTTTTTTTTTTTTGTTGTTGTTGTTGAAAAGGCCAAGGTCTGAAAAATAAGTGGCCTAAAACCGGTGAGAAAACTAGATTTGGGGGTACCCTAGGTTGATTTCTATTATGGTTCAGCCCCCCCCCAGTCTGGAAGAAGGTCCCGCGCCACTGGGCAGGCAGCATGCAAATGCATGGTGAAATTAAAAGGCAAAGTTGAACAAGCAGCTTTGTTTCTAGCAAGTTCGGAGGGGGGACGTGCGGAACGTGCTTACGAGATGGTCGCCTGGCAATACTGTCCCACGAAGGACGTGTCTGATATGCCGGGGTAGACGGTGTCGTTCAGCTTCGCCTTCACCCGCAGGCACTCGTCGAAGCTGCCCAGCATGTTGTTGTTGCCGTAAAAGAAGCCGTCGGGGAGCTTGCCGGATGCATCATGCACTGGAAGGAAATGGGCTCGGTGAAATCCTTGCTATCTCTCTGTTATCCCGTTGTGACAATGTGACAATGTTCCATGACGTTTTATTTTTGATGAGCATTTACCGAGCAATTTACCAGCCATGGGCTAGTGTTGATATTCTATGATATTCTAAGCATCAACTCATGCCAACTGTTATGCATCGCTATATACACTTCGGTATAGGTATAAGCATTCAATGGCCATATCAAATTGAAACAGCATCTTCGTTAAAAAACCCTGAGTGACTCAACAAAAGCAAATAACATAGAAATTGTGAATGTTTGAACAATCATCGACGCTGTGCACCTCCATCCACTAAGTGGACGCGGCTGCTCGCTCGGTGCAGGCCGCCGAACGAGACGATTGGTCGGATTTTCGTCCCCGCCCGGGGCGATGGCCGGTCACGTGATCGGCGCCGAGGCAGTGCCGGATGAGGCCTCAGCCGTGCCCGGTGGCCGGCAGACAGGCATGGGTGGGTTCACGACGCCTCGGAGGCGTTTTAGTAGCTATTTCGTCCGTTATTTCGTCTCCATTTACAGATGAAGTCGCACTGAGAATAGGTTCTTTGCATGCGTCGTATCGGCGCATTTTATTTGCAACAGTGCACACAGGTCGAGGCCGAGGCGACTGCTTCCACATTGAAGTGGTACAGTAACAGAAAGCTGCTGTTTTATGTTTCCCTCGTTGGTTTTAAGGGTCTCGTCGGAGTCTTAAAGGTAGTGTGCCACCTTTGAAAGATTTCCCGTTTTATTTTTCCTAGGATAAGAAGCTTCTGTTTTTACCTAATATCGCAAAAAAAATCAAAAATGGGCCTGGAATAGTGCCTTTTTCGCCTAAAAGTTTATCGGTTTTTAGATATGTATAACAACTGTAGTGGGCTCACCTGCAAACAGGCGTCGGGCAACAATCGCGAATGCGGCGCACTTGTGACAATAAGCAAAGGTCATTATAGTGTTACGACCATACGACGTACGGGAATGAGTTATCAGCTGTCTAATCGTAGACAACACAATGTCGAGCCTTAAACTGTAAGCCCGTATTGGTATTGTTTCTTTTATTTGGCTGTCGAACATTATTTATGGTTTGAAATATGATTTTATGTAAAATAATTGATATGAAAAAGCCGTCTTATAAGTTATGACCCCATTTCACCACACGCAAGTGGCAGAAATGACAATGATCAGCTGACGCATTTTTCTTGGCCGAAGTCAGAGCGCGCGGCCCGACGCACCACGCGTATTTGGAAATTCCGACCTCGACGAGCATCAGAAGCCACCTAACAGGCGTGTTCGAAACCGCAGGAGATGATGATGAACGGGTTTATCGAAACTTGATTGGATGAGCCTATCGGTAATAGCGATTTTAGTGTGTGCATTTATTGTTCATAGTGGTGTGAAATGTGGTTGGGGTACGACCGACAACCCGTCGGGGCGAATTTCGCACTGGGGTACTCAAAATTTGAAGAATTTAAGACGTTTCCATAAGTTTTGAAGGTATGGATAAGTTCTAAAAATCCGGTTCTCCTTATCCGGGTCAGTAACTCCATATGGTCCAAGAAAGCTGGCACACTACCTTTAAAGGGACTGTCCCACCTTTGCATTAGTTCTGAGTAGAGATTGCAATCCCGGCACGTTTTGCCAATCCCGGGATCCCGAAAGTTTTTATTTCGGGATCCCGGTCTAGTCACTAAAAGTCGTAAGAATAATTTCCTACTGCCATATTTTGCGTATTTTAGCTTACCACAAACAAAGCGGCAACCAAAAGCCATCCTTAGACCATGTCATTTGTATTAAAAACGATTGAATTTGCGAAGGAAACGTTTCGATTTGATTTGCATTTCTTCCCAATTGGCCTTTATAAAACTGTGCGTCGACCAGTGCGTTTACTACCTCATCTCGTCATTAAGACGGCCGTTCCAGCACATCAACGCCTCACTCACTCTTCGTCTACGCTACTCGTATTTAGCGCGACAGTTTTAAGCCATTGCTGGTAGGTCTGTCTATTTTAAAACTCGCGACCAGTGTACGCCAAATTTGGCAGCTCCCTATTTCACAATGTTTTCAAGACGTCGCTTGGTCACTTCACCTCCTTCCGGTTCTACTTTCATCACTAATGTCTCTCAGACTTTGCTCCAAAGTCGCTTTGAGGGCAGAGTCACTGACTGGGAGAGCTCCACTCTACCGTCTTCAACGTTTAAAACCCTCGCCGGCCGAGGGGGGGGGGCGGGTGCCGCCCCCCCCCCATAGGGTTTTTTCGCGATAGCTCCGAACACGCTGGCGATAGAGAGCTGAAACTTGGCATACCTGACCTTTGATCCAAGCCGCATCTTTTGACACCAACCGCATTTTTAGGTCAGGTCAGGTCACTGACCTATGACGTCATAAGTGAACCTCTGCACGGTCTTCAGATGTCGCAACTTCGCAACGCCCTCACTGCCAGAGGAGATGTCACAGGGAAATGAAACTTGCAGGATCTAGTATCCATTATGAGTCTCACAACTTGTATATCTCGGATTTTTCCTAAAGGTCATATGAGGTCAGGTCATTTTCGTGACCTCACCATTATAAGTCAATGGGGAAAAATTCAAACTGCTATTCTGGCGCCGGGAACGATCTCCAACTATCTCAAGCACACAGAATCGTGATTTGATGCACTCCTTGCAAGGTTAGATGCGCCACTTTTGCAATGTTGACCTTCCGTGACGTCATTTATGACGTCATCAAGGTCATATTAGTTTTTCGTCAATAACTCCCGATCAAATTGAGCTAGCGAGTCGAGAAAGCCACCAATGGACTCAGGAAGACCTGCCGGATCGAATGATATGCGACATGACCTCTTTCGACCAACTTCGTGACCTGGGGGTGCTGACCTGACCTTGACCTGAGGTCAACACCCTAAGTTGACCTGACCCGAACAAGAAGCATATCATTCGACGCGCCTGAGCGAGGCGAACACGATGCTGCCAAAATCGCGGCTCTGCGGCCGTTTTTTGCGAAGTTATTCACCAAAAACTGAACCGTACCCTGGGGCACTTGACCTGACCTCAGAGGTCACCGGTTGACCTAGGACCTTAAAATCGGGTACCAATCTCTGCGTCTCGTAACGGCGCACACGCTCGTTTTTTCCGCGACGCGCTAGCTCCACCAGGGGCGAAACGGCGAGGGGGGGGGGGTCGTACCCGCCCCCCCCCCCTCGGCCGGCGCGTATGTAGAAAACCAATAGGTCCGGCGAGGGTTAAATCAGTGAGCTCTGCCGTCACTTGCGTGACATCTGTGACATCTTTCTGCGACACGAGCACAAAGACTGTCTTGATGACCTCTTTTGTTCCGGCCACGCACGGACAAGTCAGAATCGCTGAACGATTCGTGATCCTGAATCCTGATAAAGATGTTGCAGCACTGATGCTGCATTTTCTTGTTTTTTTTTTTTGTTTTTTTTTTGGCGTTCGGGACCCTTTTTCGTACACATTTGAGCGGCTTAACCGCTGTGGGTGATACCCGGGAGCTACCAACACGGTCGATTGTGGACGGCCGATACGGGGTGCCAGCTAAATTGTTTCTCTGCTTTATGTCACGCAGCACCATGAACAGTGTAAACAAGACTCGTGCAGCGGCTACATTCTTTTTATGGTGAAAGACTGATTTTTTTTTTTTCGGGATCCCGGGATTGGCGGAATTTCGGGATCGGGATCGGGATTAAAATCCCGCCGGGATCCCGGGTTCCCGATCCCGGGATTGCAATCTCTAGTTCTGAGTTGAGATAGCCAAGTTGGCGGCCAGGTTCAGAAACCACTATATATCCTGGCCGCAATATCCTCAGTTTCGTGGTGTTAAATAAATTCGTTCCCTTCATTTGAAAAGTGGGCCTTAGCTAAGGCCCTGTCTCTTAACTATTAACGGCTATTTGATGACGTCATTACTCATTTGCCTTTTGAACGCCTGTCACACATTCAAGTGAAGTTTCACTTGATTTACGAATAAGCCAATCAGAGACACTCTTGTTATTGTATGAGCCGCGTCATATTTCAGAGCAAATATATTTGCTGCCAAATTTCCCCTCACATTGACATGAAGTAAATCCTTCATTACGTCACAGATTTGATATAAATGACGTCACGATAAAATATGAAAGTCGCAATATCTCAAAAAGTATACGATGAAAACGCGTAAAAACTTGCAGAATTCGTCAAAATATAATGAGTAACATTTCCGAATCCTAAACGGTACTTTTTTGAAGGTGGGATAGTCCCGCGCACCGACGGGGGGGGGGGCGGATATCCGCCCCCCCCTGAGGTTTTTCGCGAATAGCGGGAAAACCGCGGCGCTACGCGCCGCGAAATTTGGTATGACTATTCCCTCATCAATTTTACACATGGTGTGCAAGTTTGAACCTCCTACCTTTTAAGGTCAGGTCACCAGGTCACTTTGAATGACCCAACCTCAAGTCACTTTTTTGCAACTTTGTCACCGTGCCAGAGCTACAGTAGATGTCGGAGGCCTTTGAAAGTCGCAGGATATTATTAGGTTATTAGTAGCTACAATTTGTATATCTCGGAATTTTGATATCGGTGACCTAAGGTCAGGTCAATTTCGCGACCTCCCCATTATAGGTAAGTCAATGGGGGAAAAATCAACTCCCTGTTTTTACCACTAAAACGGTTCGGAATGGCCCCATATACCATACATGACTTCATATACGATCAACCTTCACTACCTTGAGGTCTGTTTTGCTGTTGGGCAGCTGTGAGGTCATGTGACGTCATCAAAGGTCACCAAAGGTTTTTGGCCCAATAACTCCGTACAGGAACAAGATACAGACGCGTAGATGGTCTCATTGTGTTCAGCTCGTCAAGACGCATCGAATGATATACATAATGACCTCGAGGTCACGTGACCTGAGGTCAACCTTTGACCTTGACCTTTCGAGGTCAACATATATATCATTCGATGCGGATTGACGAGAGGATCACGATGATGCCCTTAGTTTGTTCCTATCTTGACTAATTCGAAAGTTATTCGAGAAAAACTCTCTCAATATCTAGCGCCGCCATTTTGATTTTTTCGACCCCTGTGACGTCATCTTTGACCTGACCTGAAAATGACCTTAGTAAAAATTGTAGATCTTGACCGTGCGTATCCGATGCCGTTTACCGCTTGTCGCTATCTTGCTTCGTTCTCGAGATCTCAGGGGGGGGGCGGTCATCCGCCCCCCCCCCCGTCGGTGCGAAGTTGGCGCAGACCCCCGTCGGTGCGCGGGTTTTAAGCTTTGCTAGGGCTTGTTGAACGTTCATTGTGACAATTATGACTAGATAAGTGAAACTTTTTTAAATATAAAGGTACTGTATTATAGAAAGCCTTCGCAAACGCGTTTCGATTATATCATCTTCAGTGCTAGCTTCCCATAATACAAAAAGAAAATGGTACAAAAGTTCACAACACATCGCAAATACACACGCTGCAATTTTTTCTCTCACAATATCACGGGTAGAATGTTTTTATATACTTCTGGAATGCAAGACCGCAAATCGCCCCTCCTAAGGTGTAAAAGCCCCCCTTATGGTTCGTACATGGCACTCTTTTTGCTAGGGCTCGTTGTTTGCATATTTGTTAACGAACAATTCGTGAATAACTTCATATTCAGTGCAAGGTTTGGTGCTTACATTCTGCATTTTAGACCGTGCATGACGTCATATAAGACGTCACTAAGGCTGTTTGGTCAATCTGCATTTTTCGTCAATAACTTCTGATGAGCTTGCCAATCGGGAAAGCCAACAATGGCCTCAGAAGGAATGCCAAATCGAGTGAATTGCAGCATGACCTTTTCTAACCTCGTGACCTTAGTGATTTGACGGTTTGACCTAACCTATGACCTCCTTTAACAAACTTTGTGGCCTGAGTGATTTGATCTGCCCTTGACCTGAGGTCAACACCCTAAGTTGACCTCATCCAAAAAAGTACCTACATCATTCAACGCGTCTGGCCATGAGGAACGCGAATCGCGAATGCGATGGTGCTACAATCGCGTATAAACAACCTTTTTTAATGAAATTATTTACAAAAAGAATTACCTTGGAGCACTTGACCACCTCAGATGTCAATAGTCCACCTGAGACCTTAGAATCAGTACCTAAGCAGTCGCTGTGTCTCGTAACGGAGCGCGAGCTAGAGTTTTTCCGGAAGGCTCTAGCTCAATTAGAGGCGAAACGGCAAGGGGGTCTTCTCCGCCCCCTACTCGCTCTTTGTTTACGAAAACGTGGCCGATGAAGTCACATGCTCGTGAATTCGTCTGTTCGTGAACAGCTTGCTTATGTCTGATTATTTGGAAAATTAAACAAACAGCAAACCCCGATCTTTGCGATGATTGCAACGCGGTAATCGTTTTCTGCATTCTCAGCATCTTGAAGATCGGGATACCGATGAAGTTATAAAGGAAAATGCGTGCACCTATTGTATTGAAAAATACAAAACAAACATACCTGCCAACAATACCTAAGTGCGTTTTAATTTGTTGTGTTAATATCTACGATTTAAAAGCATCTGAATTGATGCAACTGATTTACGTCAATACGATTGTAAATTAAACTGTAACCGATTCCATGTGGAGCATTTGGTATGTGTAACGTTAAAGGTAGCGTTACGTTTCCTACAACATGGAAGCTGAGGTATCGGCGAATAGGGATAGTTAAACTAAAATACTTTGTGAATGACATCTCCTTGAAAGTATGTAGGATATATTTAAAAAAATTCAAAATTAAAAATATTTCAAAATTCAAATTTGAATTTTGAATTTATTTTTGGTTTGACTCATTGTAAGAAGCCTAAGCACAGGCCCAACGTCAAACCCTGGATGCGATTTTCGTCTTTCGCTATGGGGTTGCTATATCATTGCGTTTTGGGGGCGCTGGATTGATTTCAAGGTCTGGTAATCGAAAATGCCCGGTTGCTAGTTGCTACTCACTGCTGAGCGCCCAGGGTCGGGCGCTGTTGAGCTCCTCCAGGTAGGCCCGGCTCTGCTGGCGACACAGCTCGTTCGAGACGCTCTGCTGCATCGGAGCCAGCCAGGCGGCCACCTCATAGGCCCACTCGGGTTGCTCATCTCCGAAGCTCTCTGCAGTCACCCGGTCCGGGAGCTCGTCCTCCAGTGTGAAAGTCGCCGGCCGAACAAGGGTCGGCGCGGCGGGCGCTTCCGGCTGCTCCGGCAGCCCTGCCTCCAGGAGGAGGTCATTCAGCCGCTGTTTACTATCACACACATGCGCCAAGAAGGCGCCGCTCGTCTTCGAGGGCAGCTGCATCTGGCGGCGACAGACTGGCCCTGCCGGCAGCAGCTCCGGCAACATCTGCAGCAGCGCCGAGCTGCCGCTGACAGACGCTGTGACGCAGAGGAGAGCGGCGCACAGGAGGGTGACGCTTCCGACACGCGCCATGGTTGACCGGTTGACCGGACCGTAGTACCGGGGCGCGCTGAGATGGCCGACTGACCAGCGGTCAGCCGCTGATACTCTGACGGTGGATGTCCACCTCTGACGCACCGGCCGCCGCGATAAGGCTATCTGTTCCCAGTTGTGCGAGGTCGGTTCCACCAGATAGCGTGAGTAAGCACAGTAACAATGGCCTATGTCACCAGCGCTCCAGCAGATTACCTATGCCGAAATTTATCTAGTTTCGCCTTGTCACGTGAACTCATAGTTTAAAATCGGCGCTTCGACGAAGCTATCATCGATTACTGATAAAGGTTCGATGGTCGACCCACAAGACGCTGCTTATAAGTTCCTTTGGATGATATAGCTCCATTCCGCTGTCTGCCTGATGTAAAAACACTCTTTTACCTCAGCTTTGGCTTTTGAGCATAGTTGTAACGCCGCGGAAGCTGTTTTTTATTGGGTTGACTTATTAGGTCACTGTTCTGCGTTTGAACAGCTTCTTTCTGTGCGCTTTTCCGCGACTCTCTAGGCCTTCGATTCGCGATTTATGTGTCCTTTTCTTGATATTTTTATTTTTGGTCACCTCGAGTGACCTCAGCGATGACCTGACCAAAAAATGGCCCTTGTGATTCTGAAAGATCTAGCGAACTATCTATCGCTTTTTTGCGTCTAGCTTTCTTAGTTTTCTGGATAATCTGGCATGGCGAAATATGCCTCGCCTCTCATCATAATGAAGTTGGCTAAGACCCTCATCGGTTTAATCAGCGGTGTAACAAGACCAGAATTATTAAAGTGAGTTAGCTTGAGTATTTAGCTTCTACCAGCAAAAGGAGTGAATTTGAACCTTCCAATACTAAGGCGCTATGCTATCCTCATCCGCTATCTGGTGTCGCTATTGATAGGTGAAGTGCCTAATTCGTCAAACGGGAACTTTTTGTGATATAACATTTGTTGAGAAAAAAAACGATAAAACCCTCTCAGCAAAGAGAAGCGTTTTAAGTGCAGACCGTAGAGTGCGCAATGCGCATGCATTTAACGGTGTTTTGTGTTGCGTTTTTGTGCCTATGACATAGAGCTTGGCCGCGCTATCCCCGTTGTTTTTATGTCCCGTTGCATTACCTACGAATATTTCGATCGTTTTCAGATCGCTCATCACCTTTACGGAGGCACTATAAAATGTGCAGCCTCACCATTAATTCGCAGTGCGCGCCGGACGCCTATCGCTACAGCTTGATAACGTACGCTGCCGCGCGTGGCTGGACAAAGTGCACGCTTTGTGTCCGTTACAGCGAGGATGGTAAACGCGTCAGCGGTATCCGCGTATGTCAACTGTAGTTAGGTGTCACTATGACGACGACATAATCATCGATGGCGACCTTGTCGGAACTAACTGAAACGATAGATGGGCCAGGTATCCTTGAATAAGCAAATGCTTGCCAAATAGCGCACAAATACTGATTTCGGCTACCTACATTTCGTGGATTTTTATTCTCAAAAGGCTCAATTAGTTTGTATTAGCAGCCGAAACAAAATTATTATTATTACCAAATACACTGAAAAAATATAAAACACTGGTCGGGTGTTTTATCAGTGTATTATGGGTGTTAAGCACCATTAATGGTGTATCATGACACTAATAGCAGTGTCATTACCCCGTTCAACACCGTTATTGGTGTAATGGCATTGCTTGAACACGGTTTAAGGTGTCACATGACACTTGAAATAACACACTTGGGGTGTAATCGAGGTGTCTCAACTCCCATCTAACACCTTTTTTGGTGTTACAGAGAAAACATAACACCCGTTAGGTGTACTGAGGGTGCCATGTCATCCCTTAAACACCGTTTAAGGTGTCACACGACACTTGAAAAGCACACTTGGGATGTACTCGAAGTGTCGTAGCTCCCATTCAACACTCCTTTTGGTGTCAAAGAGAAAACAAAACACCCTCTGGGTGTATTGAAAGTGTCATGTCATCACTTAAACACCGTTTAAGGTGTCACACGACACTTGAAAGAGCACACCTGGGATGTAATCGAGGTGTCGTAACTCCCATTCAACACTCATAGCAGTGTCATTACCCCGTTGAACATCGTTATTGGTGTAATGACATTGCTTGAACACCATTTAAGGTGTCACATTACACTTGAAATAACACACTTGGGGTGTAATCGAGGTGTCTCAACTCCCATCCAACACCTTTTTTGGTGTTACAGAGAAAACATAACACCCGTTAGGTGTACTGAGTGTGCCATGTCATCCCTTAAACACCGTTTAAGGTGTCATACGACACTTGAAAAGCACACTTGGGATGTACCCAATCGAAGTGTCGATCCCATTCAACACTCCTTTTGCAGCTGTGTCAAAGAGAGAACAAAACACCCTCTGGGTGTAGGTATTGAAAGTGTCATGTCATCACTTAAACACCGTTGAAGGTGTCAGTGACACTTGAAAGAACACAATGATAGGTATCATATCACATCACATCACAATGTAGGTATTGAAGTGTTATGAAATGTAAGTGTTAGCTAGTATTATCGTAGGGGTCTGAGCCGTAGGGGGTCTGAGCCAGGGGATGACTAACACCGTTCGTATTCTCTTGGTACTTCATGTAGTTATAAATGTTATCGTTTAGCTGGGACAGAGACATTCTAGCATAAAAATATTCAAATTACCAGCTTCGTTTATTAGTTACGGGAGCTTTCGAAAGACGTTCGTCTTTCTTCGTCAGCCTGTCTTTGCAGTGTCAGACACCCTTGAAATTCCCTATGGGTGCAGTTGGGTAGATGGCGCTGCTGTGCTGTATGGTGTACAGAGTTTGCATTTATATTCTAATGGATTTGCTTCAACTACATCAAATAAACAAATCCACGATAATAAATAAATAAATTCATATACCATACTTCAAAGAAAACGCGTCGGGAAAATATTGGGAACATAATGCAGCCCTAGTAGCCCATGTTCAACCGTTGGCTTCCATGCGGCCGGCCGCCATACTAGTTTGAAACGTGCGCGACTGCGGGCGGAGGCGCTGGTGGGATTACGGTGTGTTGGGAGTATAAGTGTGTGCAAGTGAGTTAGAAGTGATCGTGAGTGGTGTCTTGGTACTCGAAGAGCTCCAGTTTTAGCAAAGGTGAGCTATTCTTGGCTAGCAATGGCACTGCTGCGGATTCCGAAAGACATGGTACTGGCCGCTGGGGGGGGGGGGGGGATGGCGGCATACTCCCGATAGGGGTTCTTTAATGTCCGAAAAATATATCCTCAGATTTTTTTCTCTTGTGTTGGTGTGCAATTTAACACGCACCCTGCTTGGGTATTAATCCGAATTCGTAACCCCACTGGAGAGGGGGAGGGGGTTGGATTCTGCTTATTTCTATTATGCTCCGCGTATCCGTGCTGCTAGACTGATTTGCGATGCAATGTGGTGGCATTTGTTCCCTGCAACCTACATTCTGTGTGTAATTTCATAACGCTGTATCATATAGGTACACGGAGAAAATTTAAAACACTGCTAACGGTGTAAGTGGTTAAACTGCATACCCACGGGTGTTTTTGAAAGGTGTCAGATAACACTTATATGAGCGTCAAGATCCACCATTGTACTATCCCTAAGGGTGTCCAGTTTCTGTACTGTGGTGTGATACACCCCAGACAAGGGTGCGTTTCGACTCCCCTCAGACACCCTATTTACACTTATAATGGTGTCACCAAGATAACACCCGTAGGGATACTGGGGGGAATAATCGCTTGGGTGTGTGTTAAACTGCATACCCACGGGTGTAATTTAAAGGTGTCACAACACAACGCTTATAACGGTGTCACCAAGTTGACACCCATAGGGATACTGGGGGGAATAATCGCCTGGGTGTGTGTTAAACTGCATACCCACGGGTGTAATTTAAAGGTGTCACAGCGCTGCTTACACTTATAACGGTGTCACCAAGTTGACACCCACAGGGAGCCCGTGGGCGCCCTGTGGGTGTCAACTTGGTGACACCGTTATAAGCGTTGTGTTGTGACACCTTTAAATTACACCCGTGGGTATGCAGTTTAACACACACCCAAGCGATTATTCCCCCCAGTATCCCTACGGGTGTTATCTTGGTGACACCATTATAAGTGTAAATAGGGTGTCTGAGGGGAGTCGAAACGCACCCTTGTCTGGGGTGTATGACACCACAGTACACACTGAAAACCAAAATGATTCTCCTCATGCCCTGATCATTGAAGTCTATACCCCAATTATTCCCTTTTGATCTCTTCATTATACCTATGGGGTATATTCATGGAATCGCAGTTGGCTTCATATTCCCATGATATTCCCTCGACCTCCATGAATTATTGATTCTCTTAATAAGCTCTTGATATCACCCTGTGAGAACCATATTATGCCATTGATACCCCAAATGATTCTGCATGATTCCGTGCGTATAAGATGCTGTTGATACCCCAGTCGCTGATAGTTATGCCTTTATGATTCTCTATCTATTCTTGCAATATACCCTTTCATTGCCCAGAGGGTATCTTGCCGGAATCACAGGGAGGCTCATATTCCCTTGAGATGCTTTCATATTCTTCTGTTATGCTTCCTTTGCCTGATTCTTTCAAAATACTCTTGATATCACCCGAATAGAACCATAGTATTCCTCAATGATTCTTCGTTGGAGGCATCAGGAACGCGCCAAAGGTCCGCCATTTTTCTCCGCCATTTCCGGTGATCAGTGAAGAGCGGTGTTGGGTGCTGTGTGGTTGCGAGTGGTGCCATTTTTAGGCTGGAATTGAGCCTTATTGGGGGTGAGTACCATCCTTAGCAGGAACTCATATGACGATGAAATGCTTGGATTGACTTAGGCCCTTGATTTTTCATATGTAGTGTTCTTCTAAGGTTGCGTGAACTTGTGCTTCTGATGTCTAAATGAGATCATTACTATACAGCATTATATTTGTTTAAATAGTTAGGTACCCAACAGTTGAACATCGTTGTTCTGATGCATGTTAACTTCTTACATATCGAGTATAAGCGAACCTGTTCAACCAATCTTATACAAAATGCATTGGGGGGGGATTGCCTCATA